TTTTTTTGAAATGCGTATCTAGCTACTTTCAATCTACTTTGAATTAGAGAAATGCTTTTTCCTCTTGCTGCTACATATTTGTTCCGACGTAATGCAGATTTTTTTAATAAGGGAGCAGTTGCATCGGTTCTTTGTTAACCACCGATGCAATTGATAGTAATTGCATCGGTTGTTACCTAATAACTGATGCAATTGCTTCTTTTATTAATAAAAAAAGTCTGCGCACCTAACCTTTTGCATCGGTTATTTGGTAATAACCGATGCAAATGTAGAAGCTTTTGCATCGGTTTTAACAACCGATGCAAAAAGTTATCTGAGCATTTGCATCGCTGGCTTTTGCATCGGTTATAAACCGATTTAAAAGGGTCAAAATAACCGATTTAAAAAGTCTTTTTTGTAGTAGTGTATAATGCTTATTGAGAGGAAAATGAAAGTGTTAAGAAAAATAAATAGGTCGAGTTTTAAATACAAATCATACTCCGTATGAAGCATGCTACATGTATCCCAAAATTTGTACACCAAAAGTATGCACTAATATTTTGATAGTTCACACTGATAGAAAGTGTTGGTGCATTAACAAAAATTTACACAGCCACAAAGTATTGGTGCGTTAACAAAAATTAGTATTACATTAATATAAAATATTAGTGCATCTCTGCGGTGTACAAAATGGGGTACCATTTTGGTATAGGTGTTTCTAGCCTTCACATCTTGGAATCAATCTATGATGACATCATCATAAGATTGGAACTTGTATGGGACTGATGAATAATCCGGTTACTCATGAAGTAGTGCACTCTAAAACATTGACGTACATATTAACAATTTGATTACGTACCATAATTTTGACTCTAAAAATTGGACGGGAGTGGCACCATTTACATTTGTATAGTTTAGGCTAGGGTTCTAAAGGAAACAAATCGAATCTAATACTTACAAAATAACTACAAACCTTTTCTTTTTCTTTGTGTCTCAGAGTTCTTTTCTTTTGAGTTAAAAACTAATTTTATTTCTATTAATTCATATCTTACCTATGACATTGTACATATTCAATAATAACTTACCCGTCACATCTTGCTTTTACATATTACATCAAGAGCAATTTGAGCAAGTCAACAAAAAAATATCTCTTCCATAAATCTAATAAAAGTCCAAACAAGGACTTTGTGGGATGGAGGAAGTATGTTTTATGTATTAATTCAATGTTTGATTCCACCCCCTGCATCTATCGAGAAAGGTTTATTTGTACATGATGGGGGAGGCCTTGACGCGATTCTTAAATCTAGCGATCGCGGGTGGAATGGTGCATATCATTACCGAATCTTTTCCCCCAATCCCTCGCGTCACTTGATAGCTAATCTTTCCTATTACTGGACTGGGTTTCCATTTTGGAGGCTAGTAAATACTCGTATTTGTATTCTTGCAACAACAACAAATCTAGTACTCCCTCCGTTCTAAAAAACTCTTTCTTTTTCATTTTTTTTACTTCCAACAAAACACTTCCACTTTCTATTAAAAACCAACTTTTACCCTTACTTTTTCATACCATACCTATCACATCATACTTTTTCTCTAATACTCAATCTATCACATCTTACTTTTACTCATCACATCAAGGGCAAAATTGAAAGTCAGCTACAATATAACACTTCCTTATTTTTACACAAAGTCAAAATAGGAACACTTTTATAGAACGGAAGAGGTAAAATTCTATAAAAATATAGTTTGAAAAAGATGTGTGTACACAAATTAAAGTTCGCCACTATTTCACTATAGAGATGTTATTTCTAAGACACTTTCATTGTGAACACAATAGTACAAACAAAGGAAACACATTAACATGAATCGAGCAAAAGCATATGCACAAACACACAATAACTATGCGAACAGAACAACAAGACTCAAAACATAGGATCTAATCCCTCCATCTCTGAATACTTTTCTCCTTTCTTTTTTCATCTATCCCAAAAAACTTTTTTCATTTTTATTAAAAAATCACTTTTACCTCTACTAATTCTTAGCCTATCACATCACATCTATTCAGTATTAATCTATCAATCAAATCTCATTTTTACACATCACATCTAAAGACATTTTTTTAAACTCAACACTAAAATATACTCACTTTCAATCCCTTAAAACTCAACACCCATGTTTTCATGGATGGAGGGAGTAATTAATTAGAATTAGTACTTGTTTGGCAATAACTTTGGTGTTTTGAAAGGTTATACTCCGTATAATGGTAGCGTTTAGTTTGAACATTTTCAAATTGAATGTACACTGTTAAGAAATATCCAAAATGTAAATGCTAATTGAGAAATGTTGTTTCCAAACAAAGTCATATACATGCGACAGATTAAGGAAAAAACACATCATTGTAAACTAAGAACTAAGGTATGAATGTGTACTCATCATGTATTTAAATCCTAAATCTCTAAATGTTCTTATCAAAGATTATATTTCCTGGGTCTTGCACAATCATCTACGTACTTCTAGTTGTTCTTAGATATACCCTTATCACTAGGGCCTCTCCATTTATTCCCTTTACATTTTCAAACCACTTAAGTCTAGGTTCTTGTAGCTTGTCTTTCGTAAGCTAGCTACTTCCACCCTTCCGCGAATAGTCATGCTCCAAAATTTCTCCATCCTTAGCTTGTAATAAGACCACACATCTACACCTTTCTTGTTGCAAAGTATGCTTGAAGAATGCTTTCACTTTGCCCAAGTAATTAAGCTCAATACGATGAGCCACATCCCCATTGATCTCATCATTCTCAATGATTAAACTAAATAACCTAAGTTTAACTTGTTATGGCCTGTTTGACATGCACTAGTTATCAATCAATCCTTATATTTACTTGTGTCAGGGTGCCCTAACACTAAAGCGACATTAGATGTATTCCATTCAGTCTTTGCTCAATCTAAAACCATTGGGTTCCAAAGGTAGACGCCACACCTCTAGTTTTTCAGTGATTCCCCCGTTTTTTCTTTGTCCGTCCGTCCGTCCCTAAATAAACTTCCCCCGTTTTTTCTTTGTCCCCAAATAAACTTCTCTTTTTGCCCTTAGAAAACCCCTTTTACCCCTTACTTTTTCATACCGTACCTATCACATCATACCTTTTTACTAATAATCTACATATCACATCTTACTTTTACACATCACATCAAGGGTATTTTTGGAAAGTCAACACAAAAATATCCCTCCCTTAAATGATTAAAAAATCAAAAAGGGAAGTTTATTTAGGGACGGAAGGAGTATTTAAAATGAAAAGACAATATGTGAACATCATTTGACCAAAAATCAGAAGCTAATTATGGGAGGGAGTATTTATATGATTTACAGCTCATAAATGTTTTTTTTGTACAAATTCCAAATGAAAATGCATTTGAGATGAAAACTTGGAATCCAATAAACCACACAAAAAATTACTCCCTCCGTCCAAAAAAGATTTACACGTTTCAGAAAAATTGCGTCCCACAATCCCTTACCCATTTCTATTAAAAAATCACTTTTACCCCTTACTTTTTCAAATCCTACCTATCACATCATACCTTTTTCCTAATAATCTATACATCACATCCTACTTTTACTCATCACATCAACGGTATTTTTGGAAAGTCAACACAAAATTATCCCTCCCTTAATTTCAACTTTAGTCAAAATAGGTAACACTTTATGGGACGGAGGGAGTAAAAAATTGAATTAATCAAAAAGTCAAAACCAAAACTTTTATGATACGAAATTGAATTATTTACTGACGAACCTGTTAAATCAGCTAGAGGCTCTAATTCTGTCATCTTCTCCATCACAACAAGTGAATGTGACATTGTAATTTGATGTGAGTAATTTTTTGATTTCCCAGAGAACCCTACCTACCTACATGGTCTGCTGGTTGCTACGAACCTTAATCTCTCCGAGCCACCACTGATTGGCTGCCAAGCTGGCATCCACTATTCAACGGCCAGATCCCTGCCACGTCCCCCCATTTGATTCCCCGGGTAATACCCATCTCCGCCCCCCCTTTTACCCGCCTAGGGTTACTCCCAATTTTTAATTTTTTTTACTTTTTTGTTTGCATACGTAAGAATTACTGTGGGGTACAGTTGTGCACAGTACTATTGAGTCATGTCTGTCTTATCAAGACACCTCCTGATCCCATCTCAGCCGTTCATTTTCAGCACCCAATGCCATGCATGAGATATACTCCATCCCTTTGTATAAACAATTTGTATTTTGACTTTTACTCCATCCGTCCCACTGTCTTTGTTCACTTATCTTTTGGCACACCATCCAATGCACTTTTTTAATACTCCCTCCATCCCAAAGAGTCTTTCTTGTTTTATTTTTTGCGCATCCTATAAAACACTTCTACCGACATCTAAAATGCCTAAAATTTACATCATTTCTTCTTTATTGTGGGTAGAACTTGTATTGAAAGTTTTTTTGGCATTCAAGGCGTGAAAGAAGTATTTTATGGGACGCGCAAAAAATGAAACAGGAAAAACTTTTTGGGACGGAGGGAGTACATTTTATCTTGTAATTAGTATATTAAAAAAATATAGAAATTATATATTAATAATCTATATGTTAAGACAAATCAAACAAGATCACACATCACTATATTTAGGCTTACACATTGAGAGAATTTGATGAGTTAAAGTATTTAGATGGACAGTTCCAAAAGTCAAAAGTGGACAAAGATAGTGGGACGGAGGGAGTATAAGATTTATTCTCTTACAATTTGACTTTTTAATTACTCTTTCCTTCCCTAAATTATTTACACACTTTACTATTTAAAAAAGGAAAATAAATTAAGTAAATAACTTATTATATCAACGCAAAATTGACATAATGTATTATAATGACTTTATTTAGATGTATTAAAGCGTGAGAAAAGAAGTCGTATACTCCTAACACAGCCCAAAAGCTATAATCATACCAGGAATGACATAAAATTGATAAACAGAATTGAAATTGAATTGATAATTGAAATTCTATAAAATTGATTTGGATGAAATTGGGTTCTCCGATTTCGATTCATTTGTTGGAGTAATATTCTTTTTGCGCAAGAGAATTGAATGTTTTATGAGATGCGCAAAAAATGAAACGTAACATTCTTTTTGCGACGTAGGAAGTACAACTTATGTTGTATTACTAGATATTGTCTGTGTTTGTTATGAGACTGCCAATGTTATTTTTTATGTCATATTCTTTGTCACTGTAGCATGACCCTTATATATGTAGCTTACTTTCATTAGGTCCTAAATTGTTGAATACTCCTATGCCATTAAAATATTTTCTTTTTCTCATTTTCTCCGTTCTAAAAGACTCTTTATCTCTTAAAAAATAACCTATTTACACTTAATAATTATTACCACTTACATATATCTACCTATTTGGTTGAAAAGATGCCAAGTTAAATTACAACCCATGGATGGGGAGAGACTCAAAGAGGCTATTATGCTTAGAAATGTTCATTTTTTGAACAATACATTCTCTTTCATCCACTTCTGTGTCTTTGCTTTTTAAGTTGTGACATTGTAAGGCTCTTTGTGAAAGCCTTGGCTGAGATATTAATATTTGGAGGGGGGATGGGCTTTTAATTTTTTTTCTTATTTATTTATCAATTTTTTCAAAAAAAGAAAGAAATAAATGAGAGGTTTTTACTACAAGTGGTATGTGGCTTTTGTCAGATGTGTAAACAAGTGTAAAATCTTGTGTGACGAGATCAAAGATTCTCTCCCCAACCCAGACAAGAAACTATATGCCCACCCTACCACCTAATTTTTGCTCTCAATAATAATAATAATAATAATAATAATAATATTATTATTATTATTATTAATATTAATAATATTAATAATAATAATCAATTTTCCCCACATTCTACTCCCTCCGTCTGCAAAAAAAGGTTCCTATTTTGACTTGGAGCTAAAATAAGAAAGTGTAAAATTATAGTTGACTTCCAATTTTGCCCCTGATGTGATGGGTAAAAGTAAGATGTGAAGGATTGGTTATTAGAAAAAAAGTATGATGTGATAGGTAGGGTATGAAAAAGTAAGGGTAAAAGTGATTTTTTAATAGAAAGTGGAAGTGTTTTGTTGGAAGTGAAAAAAATGAAAGAGGAAGTGTTTTTAAAAACGGAGGGAGTATATAACTTGAATATGACAAGCTATTGCGCTACAAGAGTCCATGAATACAATGTAATTTCCTAATATACTATAAGTTGATATAAAATTTACGTAATTAATTTTGTCGCACAGACCGTCATGGCATGGTACGTCTTGTGTGTTACAATCCCGAAATCCCTTGAATTTCTTTGAAAGAAACAATTTCTTTTTCTCAGAGAAAAGAATGGTATTTGGATTGATTGTGTTCTGCCAAGTGAAGGAAATTTAAAAAAGGACATTACATCTAGCAATTTAAATGCCATTTTCTTTCAAACCTAGCACTACCTTTTAAAAGCCCTTTTATTAAAGTTAAAAAAAGAAAGAAGAGTTTTATTACACTTGTTCCATCTGAATTTAGTGTATACCATTTTTTTATTCATACAATTTTTTACATTTATTTTTTTCTTATTTCGGTAATGAATACCGAATATCTAGCTACCAATAATTATCTCATCTAAACTAATTCTATCCACACTTTTACTTTTCATTAACTTTTTAAACTCTATAAAATTAAAGTGTAGCCAATTTTATGGGACATAGGGAGTACTTAAAAAAACTCATTTTCAAGTAATGAGTTTAAAATATCAAATATGGTGTAAGTCTTTAAATTAATTGTCTCTAGAGTATTTTGAATAATTTGTCATAATTTTTTTACTACTTTTGTCTCTTAAAGCCCTTCCTTTTTTTATTTTTAAAAAAACTTTGATACTCTTTCATCACAAATTGTAAAAAAAGCATATTTAATTAGGATATGGTTTTAATACATAAAATTTTTATGATATTGATTTATTTAATTTATGGTAAAAAAAGTCACAGTTTGGCAAAAAAATTAAAACATAAAGAGTTTTTAAGGACAGTGGGGCTATTAAATATAGAAAGTAAACAATGAATTTTGAATGGAAAGAGCTTATAAGAAAACCCAAATTATTTTTTTTGGGAATACTCAAGATTAATTTTAAATCTTTACCCATCACTCCGTAAAAATAAATGTGGAGAAATAGAACAAAAAAAAACTAGGGAATACTATGATTCTGGAGTGTGATTAAATCGATGTGAAAGATTTGACAAGCTTGAATTGGGAAAAAGTTTAAGGAATTAAAATCCCATAGCTAATTGATGGGAATATATTTCTGATTTTTTTAATAAAATATTTAACAAAGGAAACATCAAGTGATGGGGAAAAATGGGCGAATGGGAATTTGACAGGTTTCTTGGAAGTCAGAAAGCTTAATACCAGCTTAGCAATGGAGGAGAAAGAATCAGAGCTAAAGGAAAGTGATGATCTCATGAAACCCATTATTTCTACTTTTTCTTTGCTTACCAAACACCAGATCTATGAACTAAAATATTAAAAAAAAAAATGGGATCCCCCCCAAAAATAAACTAAGGATAAGAAATCAGACATTTCATGGAAAGAACATAACAGCAGAATAGAAAAGGCAAGTCAATCTTGCTTTGTTTTTTACAAACAAAGCTAAAAAAAATCTCAGAGATTTATAACACATGACAATGTTGTCCTCAAAATGAACCATTTCAATATTGCCCCCTCTTTAAGAGGGACCAAAGAAAACAAGGGCATTTTGGGGGAGAATTCTTACCTGTTGTTGGCATACTCGTAGAGGCGGCCGCGGCTGGAGAAGACAATCAAAGCCACTTCAGCGTCACACAGAACAGATAACTCATAAGCCTTCTTCAACAAACCATTTCTGCGCTTGCAGAAGGTCACCTGTCTGTTTGTTGTGTTTTCGATTCGCCTTATTTCGATCTTTCCCCTCCCCATTTTTCTTTGTGGCGAGATCTCCCGGGTTAGATCGCTCTGGAACTCCATTCCTGGACAAAATAAATTTAAGAACCCCTCTTTAATTTCAGGGCTACAAAATTCATGGATCAAACCCTCTATCTGTCTAAATCTTTGGGTCTTTTTTCTTTTTCCACAAATCAAGAAGTAAAAACAACAACTTTGAGGAACCCTTTCCAAGATTTTGACAGAAAGAGAGGGGATTTTTTTTATGAAGACTAAAAAGATTGGTTCTTGATTTTTCAAAGTCAAGATTCTAGGGCATCTGTCCACAACCCTAGCCATCAAAATCTAAGAACTTTTTTTTTGAAAAGATCTTTAAAGAAAAGACCTTTTAAAACCATATATTTGTGTTCTTATTACCCTTTTGTGAATGGAAGAGTTTTGTGAAAAAGATGATTTATCACGAGGGAGGGGAAGGATAAAAGATTGGAATTTTAATGGATTTTTGTGATGACAGGTTTCAGTTTACTGACCTTCTTAAAGAAAGATGATATAGTGGAAGGGGAGAAGAAGAAGCTAAAGTTTCTGGCTTTTGGTAATGCTCTCTCTAAGCTTCTTTCTTGCAAATCTGATGAGATGCAGAAAATGGAAACGAGATGCTCTATGGGATAGCTATATATAAAGCTAACAGTGACTCTTTATTAATCTTTACTTAGCTTGTGATTATCACTAATTTAAAATCTTGCTGATATGTCATGCTAATAACTATGCCTTTCTTGCGTTAAGCTCTCTTAAAGCCTCAATTCATTTATGTAAAGTTACTTAGGATGATTTTATGCCTTTAACTTAACACTATATATATATGTGTGTGTGTGTCTATATATACGCCGAGCTTATTATGAGACCAAACATAAAACGACATGATTTTAAAACTTCATGTTTATGAGAAAAGAGGATGAACTGCATCTATGGGCCCCCATGAGTCAATACCCAAATAGACAATAATCTAAGAGAAGAGAAATTGAGATGCAATCTTAATTTGAATCCCGAGATTGCCTGTAATTTCTTTGTCATCCTCCTCAATTTTTCCCAATTATCTTTGTGTGTGTGTGTGTCTATATATATATATATATATATATATATATATATATATATATATATATATATATATATATATATATATATATATATATAGACACACATTATCGACTAGGTTTGCACTCAATCTTAATTGTATTTTCGGAGTACTATGTTGTCATTAGACAATAAAGAGAAAATTCTTTACTCCTTTAAAAAAAGTGAAATTTGTACTAAACAGGACTAAAACATAAGTCATTTCTCAATGTAGGACTTAAACATTTTTATTCCCTAAATAGGACTTAATAATGACTAGTATAGTAAAAAGAATAATGTTGTGATGCTGGATATTTAGTTGAATAATGACTAATGGTCCTACATTAAGAAATAAAAACATATGGTCTTATATTGAGAAAGTCATTATGTTTTAGTCCTATTTAGGTAAATTACTCAAAAGTCACTTTTTTAGGGCTGGAGTACTTTGTTCATATTAAAATTGGGGACAATTTTTTCCAATTCGGTTTTTGTGTTGCATTTGATTGTTCAATTCGTTATAAACGTATACTCCTGTGTCTCTAAAAACTTTTGTCATATCCTTTATCCTTTATATATAAAAACATGAGAGTTGAATTTCTAAAAACTTGACATTTGACATGCCTATGTGGCCTTTTTTAACACTAACATGTCACCTAATTTTTTATATGAAATTAAAAGTTGGATAAGAAATATTTGAGTAAACTTAAAAATGGAAAAAAAAATCTTGAGTAAATTTCATAAAAGGTCCCCAGTTATAGGTCTTTTTACATATTTAGTCCCTACATATCAAATATTACTAATTTAGTCCCCAATTATTATATTCATTTACACGAATAGTCCTTTGACAAAATTTTCGTTAAGAACGTGGATAAAAGTGTAAATTCATACTCCTTTATCTCCTCAATTAAGCTTCCTCGCTTTCCTCGCACTCCTTTCCCAAACTCGTCGCTGAGTTTGAAGCTTTGAACCCAAAACCGAAATCATCACTCTCCTCTCAATTGTTTGTCTAACTGGTGGAACCCAAATTCAAAACCAATAACTTTCATTCATGAGTTTTAATGTTTATTTTCTTTGCAATTTCTTGAGACTAACTTATAAAACTCATCCATAAAGCTTATTGATTTTGATTTTAGGTTCCATCAGAAAGACTAATAATTGAGCAAAGAATGATCATTTCAATTTTGGGTTTAGAGCTTCAAACTCAACGACAAGTTTGGGAAAGAGTACGAGAGAAGGAAGGAAGTTTTATTGAGGAGAGAGAGGAGTGTGAATTTATAATTTTATCCACGTTCTTAACGGAAATGTTAACAAAGGACCATTCGTGGAAATGAATATAATAATTGGGGACTAAATTAGTAAAATTTGATATATAGGGACTAAATATGTAAAACTACCTATAACTGAGGATCTTTAATGAAATTTACTCAAAAATCTTTTTATGATAATATGTTGTACGAATTCTACACTTTTTTATCTTCATTTATTGCAAAACATTTTAATAATAAAATATATACTTTCTTCACCTACAAATAAATTTATATATATATGTGTGTGTGTGTGTGTGTGTGTATGTATGTATGTATGTATGTATAAAGAAGGAAATTCTTTGAAAATTATTAAATAAATATTACTCCCTCCGTCCTATAATGATCTTCCCGGTTCGCAAAACGAAGAAAAATCCCAAGTTTCTTCAATCTATTTTATTTAAATATTGGTATAAAAATAAAAAATAAAACATACATATTTAAAAACTACACCAAAAGTTCAACAAAACAAGTGGTGACAAGAATATTTTATTTTATCATATAGGTCATGAAAAAACACAAATAAATATAAATTCCCGTGAAGTTAGAATAGTGCTCTAGGAAGATCATTATAGGACGGAGGGAGTAGTAATTATAACCTATTTATATTTCACTAATGTTTTTATTTTAGTATATTATTTATCTTTACTTTTCTATCGTATGTAAGAAAGTATTATTACAATATATTTTTAAACATTAATTTAAATACTTATGTATTAGTCTAACACATTTTTTATCTAAAAACAATGCCAAGAATTCAAAAACTAACTCCTTATATGACTATTTTTAAACATAAATATACAAATATTTTATCTGAGCCCAAGAAGAAGAGATAAATACATGTTGATTTCCTAAGAAAGTTTTCTCCTGTTTAGCCACGCACTTTGCCTATTCCGCCTTCAAAACTGTGTGGCTAACAACAAACCCATTTTCTCTAAGCCCATAAGAAGAGACACGTCTGTAAGGTCCACACAGCCGTGTTTCTCCTAGCCCACCCAGACACAAGAATATTGGCTAGCCGTAGAGTACATCTCTCTTCAAGTAGATTCATCAAAAGTTCACATATTAGAGCCTTCTTCTTGGCCCAAATTCTCTATTCACTTTAGAAAGTCACTGACAAAACTATGTACCCAGGTAACTTCTTGCAACGATCACAGGCTCACCAACCAAAAGTATCTAAATAAACCTTGTGGCAATCTTGGCAAGACTAATCAACTAAAAACAGAGGAATTATTATCTAATGTTATACTCCGTATGTTTTATCATTATTGTAAATTTTACAATCGATGTTTTAATTTGTTCTATTTTTGAAAAATGTTGTAGGGAACAAAAATTGCAAGATCGACAAAAAATTCCACCCCGTGCATGGCACAAGGTTAAAATACTAGTTGATTTTAAAAGCATTTAAAAAAACTATATTTTGGTATTTATTTTCCAAATTTACATTTAAATTTAATGGTTAGATGTAGAATGTAATGAATAAAAGTAAAATGAATACATACTCCGTATGATATAAGACAAATTCTTCCGTGAACCTAAGGTCCATGCTCATTATATAAACTTTAGTGAATTTGTATTATAAAATAAATAGACTTTTTCAAAAAAGAACATATCCATATGCAAGCCCATGAAATTATTTTAAAAATATATTTTTAAAATAATAATAAACATTAAAGTAATAATAGTAATTATTATTATTAGTAATGATAATAATAATATTGAATAATGATGATAATAATTTATTATCATATTTAATAATAAAAGTAATAGTAATTAATAATAATAATCATTAATTTATAATTATAAAAAAATTAAAAATAACATTAATAATTAATAATAATAACAGTAATTTATTATTATCGTATATAATAATGACAGCAATAGTAATAATAATAATGATTAAAATGATAAAAATCATTATTTTTATTAACTTATAATAATTAATAATGATAATAAAAATTGATAATAATATTTATTTGTAAATATAATAATAAAAATAATGGTTGTTAATAATAATAATAATACAATTTAACGATAAATATTATTTTGATTATATTTATAATTAATTATGATAATAATCATCTTTGATGATAACACGTAATAATAAATTCAATAACAAATTTTAACAATAATAAAAATAATAGGATAAAAAAATAAAGTGTGAAATAGTATAGGCACAATTATATTAAAAAAAGAGAGAGAAGTAAAAAACACAAATTAAAATACTTTTATAACTAAAAATACCTAATAATGTAATATAAACTATTAATTTTTTAATTAACGTTGATCGGGTCGTTGACCCCCGGGTTTACGAGTTCGACAAGTTAGCCCATGACTCACTCCCTCGTCCGGGTCGATGTCCGGTCCTATTTTCAAAATATTTTACAATATTTTTTGGTAACGTATATGCTCATGATGATTGGTACTGTAAATGCATTTTAACTTCTATTTCGAGAATAAAATATAAGACTCCTATTGTGATAGATTTTCAGTGTTTTAGTCCTACTTTAATTTTTTTCCATCATCGTATAGGGTTTGTCAAGAATTCATTCAAATCTTTTTCGCGGTGACAGAAAAGTTTATTTATCAAATTAGCACTAAGATTTAAATAAATATACGGGCAATACTCTTTTGATCCGATTAAAAAATGACCCAGACATATTGAGACACCTACGTTCCTTTGAACATGGGGTGTTTTGATATTCAAACCAAAATGGATAAACTTGAATCTCAATGAAATAAAAATTGAAATGCACTCCATATTAGTATAAAATGATGTCATTAGATTTAATTGGTTGAAAACTATTGAAACTATATTTTATTGTAATAATATGTCATACAAATTTAGAATAATTGATGATTAACTTTTTTCTTAATTATTCATTCTGGAAAACTATTTTAAAAACTTGCTATTATAAAATAAAAAATATTATAAAAATTTAAAAAAATCAACCTAATAATATTAAAATCAACTAACTTTTAAAATATACGAGCACATGTCTAATTGGGTATTTTAGTAATATCCAATGTAATAGCTTTTGAAAATGTTCAACTTTCAAACGATAAAAAGTCAAACATTTAATCACTAAAGTCTTATTCTCTTCAACTTATTTTTATTATTTATTACTTTGCCTTATTGGAATCAATTCATATCAGATCAGAATCAACTTTAAATATAACTACATTAAGATCAGATCAGAACGTATTCCAATCAGATCAGAATCATTCAGATCAGGAGAAGAGAACATGACCTAATTTTGATGCAAAACATCTAAGTACCAACTCTAAACTCTATCTCTAGATTCTAAAATTATTCCTAAAATGGCCCTTATTGATATTACGTTATTACCTATCACTTATTTTTATTAAAATCTAATAAAATTAGAAATACTTATATACTCCATATTTAACTAGATTTAGATCTTAGAAAGCATAACTTTAATAAAATCGGATTACTAAACCCTGTCCCAGCTAATCCAGTGGTGTTTTTGTTTCCTTCCTTTCGCTTCCCAGAGAAAACTTGCCATCCTTTTGTGGAGAAGTTTAATCACCTCTAGGGGAAGGGATTGAACTGCAATTAAGTGTAAAGAGATTGATGACAAGAAATGTTTAATGAGGATGAGTCTACCCATGGGGTTAAGGGCTTTACTATACCAAGAAGAGAGGAATTTATCAAAATGATTTATCAGGGAGGTACAATGTTCCTTCTTCAGCTTTCCTTTACATATTGTTACTCCAAGATAGATAAAAGGCTTTGTACCTGGCTTCATACCCAGTGCCCTTTCCATAGCCATACAAGATGCAGGAGGAGTCCTTGTAGGGATGTAAAATTTACTCTTTTCGTAGTTGATAGCCTGGCCAGATGCTGCAAGGTAATTGTCAAGAATGCCTTTAATTCTGAGGAGGTTCCTGAAGTGTCTATTGGTGAAGAGGTTGAAATCGTCTGCAAAGGCCAAATGGCTTATTCTGGGACATCTTCCTGCATTAAAAGGGGTTATAAAACCTGAGTTGATATGATGGTTAAGGGATCGGCTAAGCCCTTCGATCAACCCCCAGGATGTAAAGTAAAGGGGGAAAGGGGGTCCCCTTGTTTGATGCCCCTTTTCAATTTGAAAAAACCCGTGGGCTCTCCACTGATTAAGACTGAGAAATGAGTGGATTTAAGATTTGCAAGGAGGATTTTGGAGGCAGGAGAGGAGAAACCGAATGCTGAAAGGATTCCCTAAAGATACTCCCAGCTGAGCATATCAAAAGCCTTTGCCATGTCCACCTTAATGATGATATTCCCTCCATTTACTTTTCTGTCTAGGGAGTGATGAAGTTCTCTTGTGATAAGGATCTGGTCAGCAATATCCTTCCCAATTTGAAATGCCCCTTGTTCCACGGAAAATGAGCTTAGGGAGGAGTGTTTTGAGTTTGGTGGCAAGGAGTTTGCTATGCATTTTACTCATGAAAGTAGATAGGGAAATGGGGCGAAAATCACTGAACATGTGGGGGTTGGGAGATTTGGGTGTTAGGGTTATGACGGTTGCCCCATACGCAACAGGAGGTGGGATTCCGAGGAAGAATTCCTGCGCTGTCAATAGAAGATCCTTCCCCAGAATATACCAGGTTTTGCGAAAGAATTCTCCATTAAATCCATCCGGGCCACAAGTGCTATGTGGGTCAAGGTCCCAAACTGCCTGTTTAACTTCATCCATGGAGGGAAGACGAGTGATCAATTCATTATCTTCAGCATTGATCAGGTGGGGGGTAAATTTCAGACTATCATGAGGATTAACAATGCTTGATTGGGAGAAAGTTTGAGTGAAGAAATACACAGCTTCAACCTTAATGTTTGCAGCATCCATAAGTGTATGGCCTGATCTAAATTTGATTTGAGAGATGGTGAGTTTGGCTCTCCTACCGATAACAAAGGTGTGGAAGAATTTTGAATGGTTATCTCCTTTTTCCATCCATCTGATGTGTGCTTTTTGCTTCCAAAATTCTGTCTCCTTTTTAGTGGCCAGCAGCAGGTTAGCCATAGCTTGTGACCAGGCTTCCCTAGTGGAGTCGGTAGGGTTAGAATCAAACGAAAGTTCTGCAGTGATGGCGTCTTCCTCGGCTTTTTTGAGATTCTGAAAAATGTCCCCAAAGATTTCCTTGTTCCACTTCCTTAGAATAGTTTTATGCTCTATAAGTTCGTTGCTTAAGCCTCTCATACCTCCACAAGTTCCAGTAGAGTTCCAGAAATGTTCAATAGTTGATAAGATGGTGGGATTAGAGAACCATGCATTTAGGACTCTAAAACCCCTAGAAGATCTTGGGGTTTCCATTATGCATTCCAATAGCAGGGGTTGTGGGCCGAGCCTGCTTTGCAAAGATGGTGGCATTTAATATCTGCAAAAAAAATTAAGACTTTCAATGTTAGCAAGGAGCCTGTCCAACCTCCTCCTTGGGCACACAAGTTTGTAGAATATGGTCAAAGTGTAAATATATGTAATTTGAAAGTGCCATGGACTCTCAACGGCATAAAAGTTCAGACTTGGATGTAGATTCAGAGGCGTGCATCCTAGTTTACAAAACACCTCTTGCCATTGAGAAGTACGCATCATCTATTTACACTTTGACCATATTATACAAAGTACAATCAGGAATATGTGCATCATGCTTCTCGTGTAGTGTGCTACATGTAGACAAAGGAGAGCATACCTAGAATTACAAATCTTGTTTTTAACTAGAATTACAAATTTGAGTTTTTAGTTGATTAGTTTCGTGTAGATTTGGAGTTTCATGTGGGATTCTAATGTCCAACTCTTTTACAGCAAGAATTTAACGCACACAATATAATGTTTATCAAAATATGTCCCTATAAGATGCAGACAAGTTTGGGAACAAATTAGATATATATTGTTATGATTATGGTAGCGCTGGGTAGTTGCATTATTTACAACGTAAGTACCACCACATATGTACCCCATCAATGTTGTGTTTTCAACTCAGTTCAGAGTAACAAACCAATTGTATGGGGAATTGCTTTTAAGACTATAAATTCACACAGTGTTAACACTATGCGACCTACATATACTATTGTAGCTAGTCCTAAAAAAATATTTATATTTAATTTTTCTTTTTTAAACTTTGACAACAATTTGTGAAAAAAAGTATATTAAGTTCAGTTTAAAGTATAAATTTGATATATCAAATTCTAATTAAATTAATTAAAGTATAAAAGCAGTTATTAGTAGTTAACTGTTAAAGTATTGCATTATTGACCTTGAAGGCTTGAAATATCAAATGTAAAAATCGTTTTGAGACGGAGGAAGTAATATAAAATTTAATTTGCATGCTTTTTAATGAACTTTACATTTTCCTATTTTAGAATGTCTAAAATTTAAGTCTACATTTCTTCACTTCCTCTTTAAGAAAAATGTTTTTGTAGGAAGTAAATCTTTAATTTTATCCAAATGAATTTTAACTAACTACATTCATGCATAGTAGACTAGTGTATTCAATATATGGAGCCCCCTTCCTCATTTTGGGAAGGTTCATTTATACATGAATTAAGGTTTTATCGTGTGCTAATGATGAGGCCTGTGATAACTAACAATGATCTCCGACTCTCTTGTGAGGATTGAACTAATACCCCTAGCTAACATCCCCATCACACGCCTATTAGTCTATTGCTAAATAATTGTCTGACTTTTGTCTAGTGAAAAATGCTAGGGTGCCCTCAAATAGTTGCTATCAAGAGTGCATTCATGCTTTGCACAAATTATTATCATCTGTGTCGTACAAATGATTATCATCTGTTTGGCACAGATGATTATCATCTGTGTCATTTGTACAAAGCATGAGTACACCACTGGTAGCAACCATTTGAGGGTCCCTAGCATGACCCTTGTCTAATATGGGCTAATGTGCATTACTGATTAAGATTGAGACAGGGGGCTAATGTGCATTCCTATAATTTATTTGAACTTGACTGACTGTGTGATTAGAAAAGTTGGTATTTTGGAAATTGCTAAAAATCTTTGGAATAAACTTGATGAACTTTATACCGAAACTTCTTTGCCAAACAAGCTTAGAATGGGTCACTGCATTTGTCCGGAATGATTTCAGAGGTGGTGGTGAATGTTCTCATGCATTGATGGCGGCAGCACTCACAATTTCATCCACCCCTCCATCGTCGAAAAACTCTAGTGTCCCATCGTGGAGGTCCCTGCCTTCCGCGTTTATGTTGGTAATGGTGCTTCCTTACCATGTGATCAGCAGTGTGGAAACCTCTTACTTTTGTTACAGGGATTTAAGTTCACCGTTGACACCTTCGTCCTCCCGATCCATGGGCCTGACGAACAGTGCCACGTAAGTGGCACTGAAAAAAATGTTGGAACATTGTTGATGATAACCATATGGAGCTACTATTTCAAAATTCACATCAACCTCATTCCTGTAGTCCTGTTGAATGAATATTTCTTAGGTGGTGTACAATGTATAGTGACCCCAAAATTAAATTGCCCAAACTAAGGCATAAATTTATCGTTAATAATTATTACTCCTTCCGTCCTTAAATACAGTTCCATTTTTGACTTTTTTAGGATTTAAGGGAGAGATATTTTGGTGTTGACTTTCCAAAAATACCCTTGATGTGATGTGTTAAAGTAAGATGTGATAGGTAGATTATTAGTAAAAAGGTATGATGTGATAGGTAGGGTATGAAAAAAGTATGATGTGATAGGTAGGCTTAAAAAAATATAATGTCTATGATATTTAATATCCACTAGTGAAGAAAAAAGAAGGAAACATTTCCTAAATAACACTAAAACTCTCTCTCCTTAATGCCCAATGTCATATATTAATGTCCAAATGTTATTTATTACTTCTAATAATGTCCTCCAAACTCCCTTCCCTTAATGTTCTCCAAAGTATATTTCTTTAATGTCTATATATTCATTTTGGAGAGATTGTGGTGATTTAATGTCCATTGATCTACTTTGGATTTATGTCGAATTTGAATGGACATTATTCACTACTTTTAATACACTAAAACTCTATTTTCTTGATGTAGAATTTTCATATATTAATATCTAATGTTCTCTATTATTTCTAATAATGTCCTAACTTTCTTCTCTTAATGTTTCTGAGACTATATTGCTTTAATGCCCATATATATTTGTGGGACATCGTAGAAATTAATGTCCACTGATATACTCTCAAGTCTCAACTAATGTCCAATTTGAATGGACATTGTTTATACTATACTTAATACTCTCCATTCCAATTTTGATTAAAAAAATTTCTCACCTCTAAAAATCTTTGATATATTTGTATATTTTAATTTATTCGATAAATTAAAATGCTTTTTTTACATTCTTGTTTTATAGAACTTTTGACGTACTTTTTTAATATATAATTTTTATTTTTTATTAATGTACCAATTTGTAAATAAAATAATAATATAAAAAATTTTAAGATTTTACTTCGTAATGATCAATTATTAACCAAAATTGGGAATGCACTCCGTAATATTTAATTTCAAAATCTCTAACGCTATTTTTCACAAAAAAAGAAGAATAAAGCAAGAAAATGAAATCTCAATTTAGAAAACAAGTCCGACTCTATATCATAATGTATGCCATCAATTTCAATTACAATTAGAATTCTTTCCTTTTCTACTGTTTGTGATTCCCATAAATTTAGGATGTGGTGCGGGATATATGGTTAATAGAGTATAAAATGGATGTCAGGGTCAATTTTGTCCTTCTCCTCATCAAACGTTAGTGCAAATAGGACTACTCCTATTTAGGGAAAACTACTCTCTTTTACTCCTATTTGAGTAATTTACTCTTTTTTTTTCGCATATCAAGGTTAGAGTTAAATATACATACTTAGAATTGGGCAAACTTAAATAACGTAACATTTGGAAACCAAATGAGCCCTACACCTCTTCGAGTCTTCCAAGATGAAAGAATGACTTGTAATGGCAATGTTAAACATGTCTCTTAATGGGCAAGGCAAGGAAGGAAGGGTGGCAATCAAATAACACAAGAAGAGAACCAACAACATTTAGGTTCGCATGTTAAGGAAGCTAAGGATGGCTAAACTCATTGTGGCGTCGTATCAGTTAGGTAATAATAAGGTAAGGTCAACTTAACAATGGTCGAAAACTCAAAAGGCGGCCCGGCAATTATGGGAAAGACGAGATCGAAAAGCAGAAGAAATAGAAAACAAAGCCGAAGAAAGAAAGGAAAGAGGTAACTACTCATTCATGAGCCTTCAGGTGTAGTGGATAGACAAGTCTCATGCGGCAGGCCCTCACATGGAAACTGTCTTTGATTGGGTCCCAAATGAGTGTTAAAAAATGTTAGATAATACCACTAATAATAATTATGGTAGTATTAATTACGGTAATATTTTTATTTTAGTCGGATTCTATTATTGATTCATACTCATACTTTGAGTTATAATCTTCTCTATGTAAACTTTGCCATGTATTTTATTATTTCTCACTTGCCAAATTTAGAAAGTCAACTAAAATTACACTTTCCTTATTTTGCCCCAAAGTCAATACGGTATTAGAGCTAAGGTATTACTTCTCACAAATCTAGCCTTCCTTCTTTTACAACCGCGCGCCACCGCCGGTCTTCTTCATCGACGATCAACCGTCACAGATCATGGCACCGATCCCTCTATCTATCATTATCTTAAAAAGAATTATGTGTGTGCCTAAAAGTCGCCACCGATCTCGACGAGCATGCCTAATAGTCACCGTTCGTTATCCCTCTCTTTCTCTTCAAAAAGAACAGTGTGCGTGCTTAACAATTGCCACCAATCTTGACGAGCATGCCTAACAACTTCCATTCTTTATCCCTCTCTCTCTCTCTTTAAAAAAGTTTGTGTGCCTGATCAAAGAGCTGCAAAGTTGTATTCGTCTGTGTTTTTTAGAGATTGAGAGCATGGAAAGCGATAAAAAAGCAGAGAATGGCCAAAAAGGAGAAAAAAAGAAACTTCTTGCCCTTGCTCGAATCCCCAACCACAAGCTAGTGATGTTCTTTATTTTCTGATGTGGGAACTCCAACACCCCACCCTCAAGTGGTAACTAGCTTGGTCATTAGCCAAACAATGATTTTGGTTGTGAGAAAGGCTATTTTCCAAACACAACCTAATTCAAGTGAAGGAATCTTCCAACGATGAATTTAATTGGTGTATTTAGAGAGCAATTAATTTCCAGTTGAAAAAAAGAAAGCAGTCCCCCTTAATGTAATGAAATGATACGTCTTAATCCAATACTTGCAGCGCCAGCTGATACATTACCATTCTTGCCCACTTTCTCCATCACTTTGTTCTCTTCCTTTCTTTTCCCCCTTTTCCTATTTCCTCAGTTAGGTTGACTGCGAAGTTTAACTAAAATGGACTCCATAAATTAATTTTTTTTTTTTGTACTCCGGGGTATCATAAAAGACAGTGATAGATACTCCCATGGCTAAAAGTTTATGGACCATTGCTTATATTTTTGTGACGCAAGTCCCAATGCTCTATTTTTTTGTTTAGTATTCAGGGTCTTGTCTTTAACCACTTAATACGGAAAATAATCCCTTAAATATGTGATTATTAAAATATTAGACCACGTGTTATGGTGGCGTGAGGAGGGCTTGGCCTCCTCCTTCACGCCCCATTCACCACGACGGGCTTCCAATTNCCCCCCCCCCCCCCACTTTTTTTTAGTTTCAAGAAATTAAATTTCATCTATCCATCGCATCTTACATTTACCTATCACATCCAAGTAGATTTTTGGAAAGTCAACAACAAAATACACTCTTAAATTTCTTAAAAATCAAAACTAGAAATGTTTTGTGGAACGGAAGTAGTTACTCCGTAATAAAATTCTTCAGTTTTAAGTTAATAACAATAGATACAATAATATAATGATTATGAATAGAAAGGTTTTGTTAAATTTTAATAGAACAATAAGATTATTCAAAGTAAAATTTAGTAATTGATTCACATAAACATAACTAATTGATTATTGATCAGATTGTTATATGGTCTTAGTGATTACATTTAGTATGTGAACAAGCTTTTTGATGAAAAAGTAGTTGGATTTCTTTATGAGCGGATCAAAATCGGCATATAACACTTCTAAATTATTATTGACACCAACTTGAAGTAGAACTAGTCTAAAACCAACCCGGCCATGTATGATGCGCCAGCCTCTGTATGTGTGCAGTGTGTTGGTGTAAATTTTGAACAATTATTATTATTATTATTATTATTATTATTATTATTATTATTATTATTATTATTATTGAGAAAGACCAAAAATGTCAATTTCTACTTTCGATTTTAGGAAACCCTTTACAAATCATGGTGTGGTCCTCCACTATAAAAGATTTGCAGATTTGACAAACAATGTGGATGGTGAATTAATGATGTGTGGGTGGGTGGGCATTGCCCATCACCTCTTTGCTTAAATATGAACCATTCAACTACATTATGAGTATATTATGAAATCTATTTTTGGAAAATTTGTGGCAAATAATATGAAATTTGGCTAGTTAAACAACAATAATATGGGGGATTGAGTAACTCTTGCTAATAGACAATAAATAATTGTTACTTGTAAATTATAATTCTCGATTATTGTGTTATACGTAATACTTCTTTCAACTCAGCTAATATTCAATGACATTCCTTATTTGTTAAAACACTAATCTTCTTTTTCCCGTGGTGCTGCGGGTGTTCTTCATTATCTCCTTCATCGCCACCCGTCTTCATTGGGAGATGATGGTTCTGTTTGGAAATAGCATTAGAGGTTAGCATTTTGAAAATGGTATCAACGGACAGCATTTAGCATTGCAATTTTCAAAGTTAATTTGCACCATTAACATTCTTTCCAAAATGCTATTCTCAAACGGGCCCGATGACTCACAAATCTCTCAGCTAGTACTGAACTTCTTTTCAAACATCTCTGCACTCTTATCCCAGTAAAACTTACTGGCACAAATTATTCTTATGGCAAATTAAAGCAGTGACAAATTTAGAATAACGGATAAAAACATGATGTCATCGTTTGTTCAATTTCTACTCTTTTTGTTCCAAAATAAATTAATATTTTTCTTATTTATTGTTCACTCTAAAAAACTTCATATTTTACACGATTCATTTTTTAAAATGTGACCCACCTCTTATCGCTTTCTTCAAAACCATTTCTAATTATATATTTTTCTCTCTTCAACATTATTGTTTAAAAGATTACTTGAAATCAAATCATGGAATTGATTTTGAGGCGGGAGTAGTATGTTTTTTCATGAATTTTTCAATATTTGTTTGTTTAAAAACTGCTTAAAAGAAGGAAAAGTGAAAATTTCTCAAAAAGCATAGTAAAGGTAAATAAACCAAGTAATATTGTAGAACTTAAATTGCAAGCAAAAAACTTGTACTCTACCTGAACTCAAGCACATATTAAATACTCGTACTAGTAACCTTTGCTCCCATCAACATCTTGACAAAGAAAGCAAACTGAATGGATACCATTCTTCTTTCTTTTCATTTCTTTTCTTTTTTATTGTTATTTGTAATCGAAGAAGATTACAATGGCATAATTATAGTATTTTATCAAAAGATTATATGCGTTTTTTTTCCATAATAAACCGCTCATGCTCCGGTGAAAACCAATACGAAATTTAGGATTTTTTTTAAGTTTTTAAAAAATGGCATTGGTACATATATACGCCAAGGACTAACTGCCTACCTCAGAATGAATGCCCTACAACTAACTGAATTTACAAAGAAGAATACATATAAAATGGTGTAAAGGAATGGCCATTAATGTCTGTCTCTTTAGCTCAATAATTCAAGAGGGAGTACTTCAAGCGCAACGCGATTTTACCTCTATCGACTCCAAGCTTAGCCCCCGTGACCAACCAATGCCCCGGCGTGTCCTGTGGCCCCTTGGACATTTCCGTCATATCCACAATCTTCCCCAGTTTTCCGACAGACGCGGAGGAAGAAGAAGAACAACCACCACCTCCATCAAGTGGAGGTGGAGGGGAGGGGTTGTGGTCCCACACGGATCTCCGTATCGTACACCCTGGCACCTTGGAGAAGAGGAGCTTGAGGTGGAGGACAGTCTTACCCCCGAAATCCCATACGCCGAGCTGGGCCCCAGTCACAATGTGGGCACCAGAGAGGTCTCCAATGGATGTATCTGCGTGCTCTATTGGTGTGGTGCTTACGTGGGAGAAGTTCTTCCACTTTATCGGTTCGAACCATCGGCTGTCCTGCTCCTCTGGACCTTGCCACTTGGGTGCACCGATAGCCACGTGTGGGTCCCAATGTGGGTGAAGAATTTTAGGAAGAGATACAAGGTGCTGCAAATGGATAGCTAGCCGGTTCTGCTTGCACCCTTCTAGGCTCAGTCTCAGACCCGTGACTGGTTTGCGTCCAACCGTTACCTGCATTATTCTTATTTGTCAGAGTACAAAAACCTTCCCCAGTCCTACAAGCACAAGCTTGAGCTTTTGGTTGAGTTGGTTCCTTGACCTGGTATCGGAACTTTCTTGACCAAGAGGTCATGTGTTCAAACCACACTGTCACCCAATTTTTGAAAATTTAAGGTTTCACGTGCAAGTCAGACATGCCCAAAAGCATATAAGAGCTCGAGTACGAGTCTCAAAATAATAAAAAATAAAAAACCTAAAGAATAAAATGAGGAAGACTACTTCTTATATGAGTGATTTCGCACGTGCACCATTTTTATCATTCGTTTAGATTTATAGCAACCGCGGTATACCTGATCGGGACTAATATGAAGCTTTGGGCCCATCAAGCTGAACTGAAGGGTAGGGCAGACAGGCTCTTTTCTTGGAAGGATATTCTGCTCCGGAGCCCATACTCTAGACATTTGGAAGTCTAAGAAATACTGCAAATCCTCTATAGGCGGCTTGTCTGATAAATTAATCAAACACTCAGTGTTAACAAGAGGAGACTATATGACAATGTAATTCCTCCATCTAAAAAAATCATGTTTGAAAACATATATTCATCCCAAAACAACGTCCTATTTGGACAACAGAAGACAAGTACTGTCATTTTTAATGTTCTTTTATTTGAAAAAAGTGTCCCAAAGCAAGCTGAGTGTTTAAACTTTAAACAAACAAAGAAGTTTAAAATATAACTATATTTGATGATTTCCAATAATTATACCTTACTAGATAATAGTTGCGCCTTTGTAAAACGGGACTCTTATGGACAGAAACATGTAAAAGAGGATAAAAAATACTCACATTCCAAGTATAATTCGATCGCATGTCTTAGGTGCTTTATTCCGGGAACCCCTTCTAACAATGAAGAAATAGGAGTAAATGTCATATTTATCACATCTGGAGTTGTTTCTACAGTCTTAGCCCATTTGGCATGACTCTGCTCAAGATCATCACCCCCTCTTCTTCTGAAAATTACGGTTACGTCCTGCAGCACAAAGTTCGAGCACACAATTTCATTGCACCAAAATGTAACTATGCAAGTGAATAGTAGTGTGACTACGGACTATGTACATGGTGCGAAATATGATAAAAACAAACTCACAACTAAAGTGTCGCATGGTAATATTTTTATTCTCTATTTTTGTTTACCTTTTTCAGAAAAAATAAACAAGAAAATGTGTTTTGCCGATAGTGTTTTTTCTTGTTTTCAGTTTCTGTAATAAAAAACGGAACTTTGAAAATTATTGGAAACATGAATCTATTGTTCTTGAAAGCTTGTTTTCATTATGACGCTACGTTATGAAACATGTATAAATTTTATAAAAATTATTCATTTGTTAAATGAATAATTTAATTTTATATGACTATTATTTACCAATGGCGTTTTGTCATTTAGAGCTTTTAAACCAAAACTAAAGAAAACTAAAAGAATGGTTCTGAAAAACAGAAAACATACACCAACAGGAAAAAAAAGCTTTACCCAATGAACCCTAACCTTGTCATTGTATTTCAATGGACCGGAACTTGGGAGGCCTTTTGAATCTGAGAACCTCTGGTCGCCTATATCCTTCACATAATTTTCAATGTCAGACACTGACAAGGGAGACGACTGATGTTGTTTAATATAAACCACATCCCTTCCACCAATTGTTGCAGAGGTGACAATATGAGTGCCATAGTTTTCAATGAAACTGGGAAAAGAATTTCAAGTAAGAGGGCAAGAAAAGATTTTCTTTGTTACGATTTTCTCTGTTCTCTTACACTATGTTTGAATCCCGGGAAATGCTAGTGAAAGGTTAAATATACTAAAGAAAAATATTTTCCATTGTTTGGCTTGTAAAATGTGAAATTTAAAATATTCAAATAGCTTAGTCTTTTTTAAATAAAGATAAACATATTTATAAAACTTGAAAAAAGATATAAACTAAATTGAGAGAGTATGATTCTATCATTTAGTATTTCTCACAAAACTATTTTCTTCTAATTTTCTCTCCTTAGTATTTTCCAGGTTCCGAACAGACCCTATAGACTAATTTCATTAGCAACATAGAAAGACGGGAGATAGTTGGGTGTCAAAAAGTATTTTATTCGGTTGCATCTTAAGTACTCAATCACCTTGCCAATGATGGTGGGTCCCAAGAACATGGAACAGCATGTTTGATTTCATCGCGCACAATTAAAGACTTTGATTTTGCAAGTTTTACAGTGAAGAGTGGAATCACATGTCCAATCATTGCAAGAGACTTTGTAGCTGCAGCATCAAGTCTCCAAGAACCGGTAAAATTAAACATGGCATTAAAGTGTCCAAGTGGAATCTGTCCATGTATACTTGACATGTCATTGAAGTATTTAGCCATCTGCAAATTGTGTAAACAAAAAGGAACTCTTTTAGACATTCCTGTGAAGTTAAGAAAGGAATTCTGCAAATTATATACGCAACGTGGAGTGAAAAGCCGGATGCATGAAATTAAGAAAAAAAGTAGTACCATGCATACATTTGTACCGACTATGAGACTAAAAAATAATCTCCCATCAAAGGATTGAATCAAACCGATTAACTAGTCTAAGGCAAGACCCTATAAACTCATCTATCTCTCTTCAATCTTTCAATGTTAGATTGATCTCAACGCCGTCAAAACGCAAAAGCTAGCACTAATAGCACAAGAAACTACACAATAATAAAAGGAATTAGATAGGGCATTGGAAGACAAGTAGAAAACTATGTTGGAGTTGGTGGCATGAGACTTAAAGTGCCAACTACTTGTCTAAAATGAATAAACACTAAATATTCATGCAAAAAAATAGTAGCAGAGTTTTATGCCAAAGTTATTGTCACTTCCCTTTATGTAAAATGTCAAGAACCAACAATAAGTTTAGGTAATTTTATAGGGGTGTCCCAATTGTTTTAGCATGCTCAAATCATTAAATACAATCAACAACAAGGGAATAGGATATATCTTACCATTTACCAACTAGAAAGGAGTAATGCAATTCACTATAATTATTCCATTACGAACAACAAAGTCCAAAATTTTACTTAGGCCCCGTTTGGTATACGGAATTCAAACTATGGAATTGGAATTGAGGGCTTCAATTCCAATTCTGGTGTTTGGTAGTACAAAATTGTGTGAATTTGGAATTGATAGTGCAAAAAATGAATTGGAATTGGCAGAATTCAATTCTATGGAATTGTATCTCATGGAATTTCAATTCCAATTCCATCAATTCCGTGTACCAAACGGACCCTTATGGATTTTATATGTAACACACTGTAAAGGTGAGAATCCTTGCCCAAATTTCATGTTCATTTCATTTCAAAACGAAACATTTTTCATTTACAATAATTTAGTGATTCTCTTCCTGCTAAGAACATTCTTTTGAAGTTCCAATCCCACCAGTACCTTCACTTAAAAAATTGATCTTTAACATGAAAAAGCCTAATAATCTAAGGCAAGAATTGGGTATGGATGGAAACAAAAAAAAAAAGAGTAAATTTCACACCCAATTCAAAAGATAAAACTTCATCTCCAATAACAATGCAATAAGAATAAAACCCCAAGAAAATGGTAGAATCTGAGACCTCATGGAAGCTAAAGACAGGCGTGGCCTCAGTGGCTCGAACTCCTCTCCTGCACTGAATATCATCAGAGACATTAGGGACGAAAAGGCCGGAAGCCAGGTCAAGATTCTTGGTGCGTTCTTCATCCAGATGAACCAGGCGTGACCCGGGCGCTCCCTTGCAGTACAAGAGCCTGATATCCGATGTGACATCAAACCCTCTGCCCAGAGCTTGGATTGAGTTGCTTGCAGTGGCTACCAAATTCTCCATCGCCGGCCAAACAAAAAGAAACAGGAACCCACCAAATTATGAACACTCGATTCCCCCTGGAGCTACTCCATTTTGCGAATCTGTTGATTTTTGGGGTTGGTCTGGTCTTCGATGCTCTTCTCTCTACTCCGAGTATATTTTGGTTGATTGATTCTTTTTTTTAGTTTTCTTTTTGGTCAGCGTTTAGACCTGGGGAGATGCTGGCTTTTGACTGTGATAATGACAAGAAACGCGTTGTCTTGTGGAATCAGGCAAGGGCACCCATACCCAATTGTAAAGTCCATGTTTCCTCCAACCTTTTGACACGTAAAAGTCGTGTAAGAACTATGAAGACGAGGAACATTTGTCAAAAAAAATCTAAAAAGACGAGGAAGTTGAGATGATGATGATGATGATGCTCAAAGCTTTATTCGGTGTTGTTTGGCAATAGACCTGCTAAAAAGTGACCTGTTTTTTGACTCGAAACCCGACTTGAAAACATTGGGTTTTGAACAAAAGTTTTGATGATCGAACCCGAAGTTAACCGAATCCGAAATGACCCGCTAAAAATGGGTCAAACCCGACCGAACTCGACCTGACCGACCCGCTAAAGTAAGAATTTTTCAAAATTATACACTTTACAACTCGTTTTTAGTGTACAAATTTATATTTTCAGACAAAATTTTAATAATATTGCATAATTATCTTACTTTTTTTCCAAAACTTAAGCATACTTAAATTCCTTATATTGATTTATATATCTAAAAATTATTTCATAGTTTAAAATAAAATAATTGTATAGATTTAATACATTTTTTTGATATTTTAATTTTATTTAATAGAAAATGTAAGTGTTAATGTAAATTTAAAAATTTACAAAACCAAAGTCAGAACTCGTTGGGTCGACCCGAACCCAATGACACTGGGTCATAAACATACACTTCTCAACCCGAACCCGAATTGACATGAACCCAAATAACCCGAGCTTGAAGTGACCGAACCCGAACCGGCCTGACCGACCGATTTGCCAACTCGATTTGGCGATAGTAGGATGAGGAATGCCCTCCAATCTACCCTATTTGTACACCATTGATCCTAATTATTGATTTCTTTTTTTATTTTTAATTTCTTTTTCCTCTTTTGCATTTATGTGGTTGAGATGGAGAGGGTACAATATTCGGTGTACTCCTAGCATTTTTGTACTATGATAAGTCATATTCATGTTTCCTACGTGTAATTGTTTCCACCAATTTCTCGAATTTTCTACAATCTTTCCTCTCAATTGTTTGAAAACATTAAATTAATATCCTAACAATTAGTTTTCCATTTTTGGTCTACTATTTACTCCATACATAATATTAATCTTAATTTATAAACTTCCAAGATAATTCTAAGAGAAAAACATAATATCCCAATTTGATCCTATGAAAATAAAGTTTAGTTTAAATATAAAAAGTAAAGAGCATTATTTATATGTTATCTAAAAATAAATATGAATAATATATATTCCCCATATATTTAAAAAATTATTGTTAAAAATCAAGTAATATTTAATCACTATAATTTAACTCTAAGCATGTTTGGTTAGTAGAAAAATATTTTCTATAAGAAAATAATTATCAAGGAAAATTATTTCCCCCACATTTTTCGATGTTTGGTAAGAAATAAAAGTATCCTCCTATATACAATGATAAGATGCATATGTGAATAGTGTTCTCGCCTATTTCACAAGCCTTCTTTGGGCCGGTTTTGGGCCTATCTTCGTTGGGCCGGATTGGGCCTCCCTTGACAGCTATTCTCTAGCCTTCTTTGAGTGTTGTCAAATCAACTTTATATGAGTTGTCCAATCGGTGGTGCTTTGCTCCATGATATGGTGTGTTACTCCATAAAGTAAAGTAATGATACTTTATGGAGGAAAGTGTCAAGCTTTAGGTCAAATCAATTAAATAAATAGGTTTGCACAATCCAAACATTTAATGTGTAGGTAATTAGTTCATTCACTAGGTATTATATATACACTTCTTTGAGCATCATGATAAGCCACTTCATTAAACAACCCTATTTGAAATTTCGTATCTATGGATCAAATTTCTCAAAAGAGTTCAAAGACAATGTTTACTCCGATTGTGGAATTGGACAACCATCGGACAACATGGATGCTCATGTTAAGAGCTATTCAGATTTTCTTTGTTCCGAGGTGTGTGGAAGGCGGAGATTCCATGGAGATTGTCTTTCACGATGAGCATGTATTGTATTCCCCAACTTATTACATTTGTTTTTTTACGACCAATATCTCAAAATCTCATACTATCTACTTTTTGTACAAGGAACGAGGATTCACGCTCATCTTAACCGACCGGAAAAAATGCGTTTTGAAAAACAAATCACTGAGCCATAGCAATAATGTGCAACGCATATATATTTCTAATATATATAATGCGTTTTTAAATATTTCATTCTATATTCATATGTTAATTTAGTCCTATCGAATTCCTACATCAATACTTTCCCTAATTATTTAGCTTTTGATTAGGTCGTGCAACACGCGAGTTCGAGTCTAGTTTTTTCAAAAAAAAACATTTTAAATGGTTAAGATTTTAAACTTGACATTTAAAAATATATTTTAAAGATATTTTCAACTATTTTAGCAGCATGAGGCTTGTGGCATATTGTGGGGGTGTTGGTGCGGGCCGCGAGGTAGAGAGAAGAAGGGATAGGGCTGATGACCCGAATTGGCTAGTGGCGGAAGACAGTGGGGTGGGGGATGAAGGTTAAGGGGTGGGGTGGGTCTGAGGTGAACAAGCAAGGTGGGTGTGGAATGGGGATAGTAGGGTAGAAGGGGGCAAGAATTAGGGGTGGCAATGGTAAGGGTTGGGGAGAGTTGGGAGACGTGGGCATGGGAGTAACGGAGGTGGGGGTAGGGGTGGCGGATGTCGGCAAGCAGAGTGAGTAAGAATTTTCTTTTGAAAGTAAACGGAAATCATTCTCCCCTTGATGAGACAAAACATTTTCCTACAACTTATATATTACTAAATATATGTGACCAAAAATACTTCCCGAAAAATAGAACCCAAATTTTATGCTAAAATGGAATTCAAACAGATCCTCTAATTCTTTTCGTTTTTCAATCAACTAAATGTATGCGTGGAATGTTACTTGGTACAGAGTATAACACTTAAAAGAATAGTGACAGGAGTCCTAAAAAAAAAGAATACTAACTTATCATTACCAATACGTTGACTGTATAATTGACCCGATACGACTGGTTAACTCATGACCCATTTCTCTCTCTAATAGGATTATGAGAACATTGGTCAAATGTCGCAAATCTGCAAGAAATTATAGGAGTGGGTTGGCTATTGCAATTCCACCACCTTATCCGACACCCCCGACCTCAGCAATTTCGCCTCTTCCTCCCCATTTAGCCGTTTGTCCGACTTCGTGTTTTCTGTCTTCACCGATCCGTTGGTCACTGGGGAGATAATAAAAAGTACATTAGTCCCGTAAAATAATACAAAGGTAAAAATGTGTACTGTGGTTGAAAGTGATGCAGAAGAAAGAAAGATTGTGAGTCAAGCAAAAGCCTATTCTTGTTAGGTGGAGTCAGCAATATGAGGTTTTGCATTGGATGATTTAAAAAAACAAAACAAAACCGTGTTTCTCACCGGACGACAAAGATTGCATTCCAGAATACTTTTCTCTAAGTGCGTGAAAATTGTACTCATCCCCATACATAGTTGCATCCGAGCTGAGCTCGCTGACATCAGCGTCACCTTCAAGCATGCGCACCACTGCAGACATGGTTGGTCGAAGCGCCGGAGACGGACTAGTGCACAGCAGTGCCACTTTGATCATTCTCAGTGCCTCGTCCCTGTTAAAACTTGATCCCAGATTGGGATCCACCAGCTCCAGCAAATTCCCCTTCTTTTGTTGAACTAGGGCCTGCAAAACAAGTCCATTATGTAGTATGATCAAAGGAGGTTTTCTTGGCTTAAATTCTTTTACTTTGTTTTAGTGGAGGAAAAAGGTGGCCTTAAATCTTGCTATGAGTTGAGGGACCGGTTTATAGATTCTCATTTCTTACCCAGTCAAGTAGGCAAACGTAGTCCTCATCAGGACGGAACTTCATGTTGTTTATTCCAGACACTAATTCTAGCGTCAGAACACCGAAGCTGTACACGTCAACTTTGTAGGTTAAGTAGCCCCATAATGCATATTCAGGGGCCATGTATCCACTGCATAAGAGACTCACAACAACATTACTTTCATGCATTGTCATGTAGACACAAGTTTACATGCAATTTGTCCATTTCGGTATGCCATAATAATATCAACAACAACAACTCAGTTGAGTCCTACAAAAGTAGGGTCTGAGTCCTACATGCAATTTGGCCACTGCTACCTCACTATTAAAAGAAGCACAAACAGTTTGAAGAGCCATTTTGCTTTATTCCATCATACCCAAAGCCGAAAAATCGAGAACATTAAAAATTAAAATCCCTTGTTGGGGAAAATATCAGGTTATGAAGAAGAAGGGGGAATCAATAACCAAAGGAACATAAATAGCTCACATTGTTCCCGCAACTCTAGTGCTGATATGAGTGTTCCCCTCGTCATCAAGTTTGGCCAAACCAAAGTCTGCAATTTTTGGATTGAGGTTTTTGTCAATGAGTACATTAGCAGCCTTTATGTCCCTGTGGACGATTTTTAGAGCTGACTCCTCGTGCAAGAAAGCTAAACCTTTGGCTATCCCAACACAAATTCTTTGCCTGGTTGGCCAGTCTATTGCCAGTCGTGATGCTTCAGGACCTAAAGGAAATTTTGGAATTGAGTTTACTCAAAATAAGGGGGGTTCCAAAAGTTTGTACCTTCCTACCTCAAGTTTTCTCTTGGAAGAAAATTTTGTCAACTATTAATTACGGTGTACTCCATAACGATTAAGTGATTGACAAAGAGAATAAACAAAAGGAGACATACCCAATAGAGCATGGGCAAGGCTGTTGTTCTCCACGTACTCATATACAAGTAGAAGCTGATGTCCTTCTACACAGCATCCATAAAGTCTAACAACATTTGGGTGTTGCAAACCAGAGATGATTCCAATTTCATTAACAAACTCACGGTTTCCTTGTTTTGACTTGGACGAAAGCTGTTTAACAGCAATTATGGTACCATCTAGTAGTGTTCCCTGTTTATTACAACAACAAATACAAAAAAATAGGCTGCGTGATCATTTAGGCTGTAATTTTCATGGCATACAGAAAAAAAATCAATTATATAAAAAACTTTTACAGCATAGGGCAAATTGAACTCTATATATATATATATATATATATATATATATATATATATATATATATATAGATAGATAGATTTTGGTTCTGGTGAGAATGCGATCTTATGAAAGAAATAAGAATAAATCAGGTGCTTTAGATTGTGAGATCTAAGGGTCAGGATTGCATCAAAATTAGGTGCACCAAAATGGTTTGAAAATGCGTCATGTCGAAATGCACCAAAATCCTTTGAAAATGCTCTCAAAATCTGAGCGCAGGATGCAATCTGAGTCGCACGATGCATTAGATCCAAAGGCTAGATTTTATTCTTATTTCTTTCACCAAGGTGGATTCTCACATGAACCGGCCCCTATATGTGTGTGTGTGTGTGTGTGTGTGTGTGTGTGTGTGTATGTATGTATGTATGTATACACACACACACACACCTTGTAAACAGCTCCAAAACCACCCTCTCCAAGTTTATTTGCAGCACTAAAGTTATCAGTGGCAGCCTTAATTTGTCTGAAAGTGAAGCGGCCAGTTTTCAGATCAAGCCCAGCTAGTTCTGTTCAAAAACAACTTCATGAAATCACTTTCCATTTAAAAGAGAACCCATGACACAAGTATGTATGCTGCAAGTATGATCTGAGTAAAATAACGAGATGCAGGGTATTTGTGGGCACCACCTTGTTCCTTAGATAATTTTCTTTTTGAATAGCTTTTTCTCCAAGCAATACCAAGAACCATGAGAATGAGTAATAATGGAGTAGCCACAGAAACAGCTATAATGAGAGCCTTCCTGCTATGATTAGGAGGCTCAAAATCTGTTGCAGAAGAACAAGTTTAACGATGTAATATGTAATTGAGATAAAAGAGAGAACATTACATTAAATAACAACTGCCGCTATTACAACAAGAATAATATATTACTCTCTTCCTCTCAAAAAAGAGACATATTTGATCCAGAGCCAAAGCTGAAACTTTAGAGACCCAAAGCGAAATCTATATCTTGGGTCCTTCATTATGGTCTCAAGTTACAAGTCTAGTGAAATAAATATCTTGCTAACAAAAGTTGTTACTCAATGCTGTGTACTATAGTTCTACCATTTTGTTTACGTATTATCTCATAAATTTCTTTTGTATTCTTACATTTCGCTATAAACCTATATGTAGCAAGCCGCATACAAGAGTCAAGAAAACCAATTCCCTCATTTTGGGAACTTGGTTCTTTTGGAGAAGGAACAAGCAAAGATAAAAAATAGTCTATAACTCCAAAAAAATCCCAATGCTGAAGCAAGTCCACTTTTTTTAACCAGGAGTTTTTTTCTTTTGGTTCATAAGGAGTATTATATTATAGCATTATGATTACCAGATACCACAGAGATAGCTGACACTAAAGAACCATATTTTCCTCGGACTGGAACTGCTGTAGTTCCTTTCCCAGCATAGTGAAAGCGCACTTCTAGAGTTTTGTCTGTGACAGTTGCATTGAATTTCAGTTTCAAGGGTATATCAACACCTTTAGCTTTACTTTTGATGTCAAAGTCCTTCAAGACGCGTACACCCTGTGAAAATGCTACAAACTGAGTCCATTGCATTTTCATTATTTTTTTTAAATGTCCACTGTAAATTTTACCGGGATATAAACATCAAAGAGCCGTCTTCCAAGGCTTTGGAATGATCTATTATCCCTTATAACAATTTCAGCAAAATGTAGAGTGATCGTATAATTTCCATTTGCCAAACAGCGTCCATAGTAAGTTAAGGATAAAGGAGAGACACGAGCTGTCGTGTAAAGTTCGGATTCATTTCCCTTTATAACAGATACATTATTTGCTGTATAGTCAGAAATGGTTCGGTTTCTATCCCAAAAGTCCCCTGTACTACTGGTAACCCAATTCTCGTTGGGGTGAGCAAAGTTTGTAGATCCCGCTGAGGCTTGATCATCATCATAAGTTATATCTCCAACCGCAACTTTGGGACCGCCACAATTTATATGGAAAGAATACCAATCTGAAGTGTATAAATTCAAAAGGTTGTACTCCATAAAATAAACAGTGTGAGTGTGTGTTTAGATATTGTCAATTCAAATTTGAATGAAAAAAGCTGTGCCGACTGATAATTCATCATTTCATCTATTCTTTCTTTACATTTCCAGAAACTTTTTCATGCTTCTCAAAAACTGGGGGCAATGCAAAGGTCAATGAGGTTGAATACGTACTAAAGTACTAACCTTTAGAGCAAGAACTCAAACATTTCCCAGCTTCTCTACAATTTCAGAGAAGAAAGTCACAACCAGACTAAGATGGACAAAGAAAGCACGATAATAGCAGTTTCTATTGAAATGATTCCACTTAATGACGCTAAGTCTTACTCATTATCCCATCCGCGGAAGGTTTTGAACAAGTTTCTGAAAACAGGATAAAAAAAGCCCTGATGAATATGTTTCTTGTGAACCATTAAAAGACATGGACCTAAATCTTGGACTTACAAGCTATCGCTACAAGTTGATGGAACTGAACTCTCACTGAAGTTATTGTACGAAATATCTATTTGCCTGCAAATGAAATGTTTAGGTGCTTACATGTACTAAGAGGATGTAAAACATATATTTTAAGTACTTTTTCTCAGGAAGCAACAAAAGAAACATATTAGCAAGCAGTAGAGAAATTAAAGGTATAAGAAACATACGTTCTGGGATCTCGACTTACTATCCAACCTGGTATAGGCCCAGTGAAAGAGTTGTTCGTCAGTAACCTAGAAGTTTGGGCATTATATCAGTTCATAAGGAATTGCATATTTTTTATATAGTTTCAAACAGTTTGGTACACACATCATTTCCATGTTACTCAGACCATCAAGATTTGGTACTTCACCTCCCAGATTGTTGAAACTCAGATCTCTGTAGAAAAGAAAAGAAATGCTTCTTAGGCAGACAATATTTTTGTATCAGTGGAAATGATGGCTAATGGAGCTAAAAGTCTCTGAACAATGTTTTAGTTTTGGGCACATATTGGACCAAATCAAAATGGCACATTAAACTTCTTTTGCTTCTCACTTTCTAATGAAGTTTAGGGAAGTAAATGCAGCAATACATCTTGACCGCCTAGAACCCAACGGAGTTGAGATTATACCGGATTGTTGGTTTTGGTGTTTTTGTAGTGGAGATGATAGCTAAAATACATAGAACAATCACCTTAACAAATGCTAAATTTTAGTGGTTAAAACTTAGAAGATAGGCACATTGTGTGTGTAGTAAAGGGTACCATATATGATATATAGAAATGGATGATGAGGTGCATAATGTATTTTTAAAAAGCATACCCCTCTGCCAAACAGTTTATTATTACAGTTTGTACTTCATATCCTTCTAAAGAAATAAATACAGAATGACAATATTACACAAACTATTTGTGTGGACTTTCAACCATAATAGATTAAAGAATTTTCAACAATTGAATTAATAACTATCACTAAAGAATTTAGAGAGCAATTTTTATTCTTAAGTAATGGTCATGTTAGAATGTCAAGAAAACATTAGGTGCTCATTTTATTCCATCGTTCTTCTACATCCCATAAATACTCCATGGTAGTTTTAATATTACTAAGGGTATTATACTACTGTAGTAGTATTTTTACTCTGCCTTCAGGGGAAAAATTCTTCATTGTTATGTGTGCGAACACCTAAAATGATAATAATTCTAGAATGTATGGAGACGTGTTCATTACTACCTCTTTCCCATTATTATGTTCCTATGTTGATTTGGCTTGCTTTTTAATGAAGTAAGCATTGTGAGTTTCGGAGGAAAGAGGCATTTTCAACCAAAGAATCTTTTCCTAAAAAGGAAAATGGAACAAAATCTTGAGGACCCAAATCGGAAAGAAGGAAAAACATCATGGGAAAGAGGGACTAAATATTATATCAATCGAAGATGGCATTTAAATAACACATGCAAAATAGGTGTTAGAGACTTGGGACTATCTATGTACTTTAGGTATAAGCTTCTCTTTCTCAGTAAATACAAAACCAAAAAACTAAAACATCAACACCAAGGTTCCCATAACATTGGGTTCCAATGTCATGGGAACCCCACATCAAAGCATATAAAACGAAGGGAGTATAACAGAAGAACCCAAAGCAACTAGGAATTACAGTGCACGCAATGGCGTCATAGTGCCCACAAAATCTGGTATTTTCCCAGATAAATTACAGCTCCTCAACTTCCTGCAACAAGAATTCATTTCCTCCAAGATTATGGAAATTGTAAAAGTCTGACCATTTTTTAAGGAAGAAAAGAGTGTTACTTACAACTTAGTCATGACTGTCATGTCTTTTAACATGGGAAACACAGAGGCACCTCCAATTAAGTCACTAATTCTCCTGCACAGCATTTTAAAAAGATTAATAGGCTAGTAAAGCTACATAAAGTCATAAACCATAACTGCATATCATAGTAGAAATTTTCTTGAAGCATTTTCTCACAGTTCAGTTAAATTTGTCAAAACAGAAATACTTGAAGGTATCGGTCCTTCAAACCCACCAGCTTCAATCTCTCTGTATTCATAAACCAAGTGTTATATATAGAAGTCTTAGATCATTGAAGTAGAAATGTTGGCAGAAAGTCTTACATGTTTTGAAGATTTTTCCAAGCCTGAAAGTTAGGCAATCTCCCACTGAAGACATTCCGGCTCAGCCTACTGTATAGGTGAAACTCAAATCAAAAGGACTGAAGAGTAATTTTTTTCTTTTCTTTAAATACTGTATATCAGGAACGGTGAGCGTACAGTTCTGTCAATTTGGTCAGATTATTCAATTCCACTGGGAGCTCACCTGTGAGATTGTTTGCAGAAAGAATGCTGCAAAAACGAAAATAAAACAGCATGAACAATATGGGAATACAAACATTAAACTTGACTTATTGAGACACGCATAGAGTCCATACAGTCTCTCTAAATTGACAAGTTTCCCAAGTTCCTTTGGAATAGTTCCATTAAACATGTTATTCTCCAGACTCCTGAAAAAGCCATCAACTTTTAAGTAGTACTCAAGAGATTCTTGAAAAATTCAAAATAAAGATATGATGCCCATTCCCGTAAGGTGCAAGGCAAAACACATACATTATAGCTAACGTAGTTATATTTCCCACATATGTTGGGATGGGTCCCGATAATTGGTTGACGGCAACACCCCTGCAAGCAAACCATATCGGCTAACATGGTTAAAAATGGTTTACACACGTTTGATTAGTGGAAAATGGTGGTGGCACTCACAGGAATTGCAGTTTGGTAGATGCCCATTCACGGGGGATTGTTCCACTTAAATAGTTACGAGTAAGGTCACTGTAGAAAGAAAGTAAAATTATATATTGATCAAGAAACTGAGACTCAAACTGCGCTATATCAGGAAATTTTCAGTACATTTTCTTGATGAAAGGTAACTTTGACAAGGAAGGAGGGAGGACACCTGCTAAATCCTGTGCAGTAAGAGACCTGCTTACAAAAGACAGAAACTCTCAGAATTTCATTAATGACTAGGCAAAATAATGGAGTTCAATAAGGAGAGACGGAACAAACATGGTTTCGACGTGGCAAAAACCATCACCATATGTACAATTGCAGAGAAGGGAGTTTTGATAGATGGGCAAATCGTCTCGGTGTGGGGTGTTCCAGCTTGAGTCCCCATCGCACGGATTCAGGCGGAAGTTCCAATCCTTTTTCCCCAACTGATCAGCTATTTCGCGAAGAGCTCCCACTGAAATTTCCACATGAATTCACCAAGATACTCAGATAAAATAACCTCTGGAGAAGTAAAGTTCAACAAATTTCCATATGCTGCCCAATAAATGTGCTCATATAAGCATTCCTCACCTCAATCTCTAGACCTAACTTAATCTACTTAAATCATAAAGTCTCTCATTAACACATTCTTGAGTTGTTTGTGGTTTAACAAAAAATGGGCACTTCAAATTTGTAACAAGCAAACTTTATAAACAACCCATTAACAATAAAAGAATTCAAACATAGCTCCCTTCCAGTTGAACAAAAAGATCAGAAGATGAGAAACAAAATGCTTAAGAGAATAAAGATTTTGCCTTCAGCCTGGGGAAGAGGAAGAGCCGGAGCTTGAGCTTGAATTCCATGGAGGTTGAAGCAGAGCAGCAAGAAATGAAAGAAGAGCACAGTATTCGAGCTCAGAAATGGTGCCATCATTTCTCAAGAATCAACAGTGGACAGGGATGAGATTCATAATGGGAAAACCATTTAAGATTTGGACCATACACCAAAAAATGTACCCACTTTTACACCACAGTTTTGCACAAACATTTTGATGATTTACACCGACACAAGTGTTGGTGCGTTAACAAAAATTTATAGCGACACAAATGTTGGTGCGTTAACAAAAATTAGTTTTACACCAACACAAAATATTAGTGCAAACTTGCGGATACAAATTAGGGTATAAATGTTGGGGTACACATATCTTAATCCTTATTTATTTTAAAATTTTAAATTTGTCCACACAAAAAATAATAATACTCCGTAATAAAGAATCACGAGGATAATCAATAATGGGTTCTTGCTTTCTATGGCGAAGAAGAAAGAAGACTACCCGGCTTGAGTTATTTATCAATAACAATAATGGCTTAGAACTACTTGTAGCTTTTGACTAGTATTAGAATTATGTGAAATTTGCACTAAATATGACTAAAACATATGTCATTTTCTAATGTAGAACTTAAATTTTTTTATTCCTTAAATAAGACTTAATAATGACTAGTGAGAAGAATAATATTCAAGTGATGCTGGACATTTAGTTGAATAATGACTAATAGATAATTACCAATGGTCCTACATTGGGAAATAAAAACATATGATCTTATATTGAGAAAGTCATTATATTTTAGTCATATTTAGGTAAATTACTCTAGAATTATTTATAGATTTTGACAAGTAATCTTCAGTGATATTAGTGTTTGACTTCTTTGCTAATGCTTTCAAATATTTAATAATCTTTTTTACTCTAGGAGAAGAGAGTTTAGGCCCCGTTTGGCATCAGCGTTAGAGATTAGTGTTAGTATTTTGAAAATCCAATCTGACGCTAGCCTTTAGCGTTAACTTTTTCCGAATTAATCTACACCGTTAATATTTTATTTAAAGCGCTAACGCTAATTGAAAACGATAACAAATAAAGAGGTAAGTCTTCAATTTTCATCTTTTTCGATACATTACTTTCCAACTTACACAAGGCAATCATTCCAAAAATTTCTAAAAGAGAATAAAAACCTTTCTTTAAAACTTAAACTATTAACTTCCAGTCCTTTCTAATTTCTTACAATTCCTTCTAGTTTCTTCTATATTTTTTTAACTATTCTCATTTTCTTCAAACTCTTTATACTCCCCAAATAATTACTCTAAAAACGGTGTATTTTTAATGTGATTATTATTATCATTATTACTATTATTATTAGCATTATCTTCATTATTATTATTATTATTACGACTATTATGTTCATAACTATAGTTTATAAATTATTTCATTTTTTTATTTTTTCCAAGTCACTATTTTTATGATTCACACTCTTCTAAATTGATATGAGGAAAACATTTTTCATTTTTTTATAAAAAGTTTTGGAATTCAAAATGCTTTAGAGAAAAAGACTAAACTATGAGTAAAACATTAAAAAAAATGTACCAAAATACGAGTTTTATGTTTTATTCTCAAAATAAGAGTTACAATGCAAAACGCATATGCTCCAAACGTGCTACTGAATTTCTTTCATATTTCTAAAATGCACCGAGTTTCGTGTATAGATTTATGTGAACTTTGTAATTGGGGTCAATAAGTTTTGAAGTTGAAGTCAATTCGTTTTTCTACTCCAAAGATTGAAAAATTCAAAGGATAAAAAATGTGTGCGGGCGCGTGTGTGATCAACTCCAGTTAGATGACATTCGGCGACATGATGCAATGTAAAACAACCAATTTACAGAGTATTTCCCATCAAAACTATAACTGATGATCTAAGATATATTACTGAGCAAATTACAACTCATAATCGGAAAAGGAACCTCAAGCAATATTGCTTAAAAGAGGAGTTCTTCAGTTCCCTCCTTATATATATATATATATATATATATATATATATATATATATATATATATATATATATATATATATATATATATATATATATATATATATATATATGACAAAAGTGAAATAGTTGCCATCACATTTACAGAATCTTGCCACCAAACTTCGGCCGCGTCTCTGGTTTATTGACTGAACTCACGTAATAATGATCAGTAAAGAGAGTTTCCCGGTGTCTCGGATTCCAAACTGGCTCCAAGAATCTGGGAAGACGATGACTCGGCAAAGTCACCACCAATGCCAGAGTTGGAGCTTTGTCTTTCACGACGAAGGTCTTGTATGGCCTTAAGCCTCAAATCTTCAGTGTATGTACTGGCCTGTGGGAGTTCGTCTGGAATACGAATTCTCCCTTCAAGCATACCGAGAGCTTCAGACATGGTTGGCCTTAGTGATGGAGTGGCACTGGTGCACAGAAGTGCTACTTTCACAATCCCTTCTACCTCTTCTTTGTTCACATCAGATCCCAATTTCTCATCAGCCATCTTCTCTGGCTTTCCACTTAGCAGCAAGAAACAAGCCTGTAACATTTAATGCCACATACAGATACAAATTTTTCTATAACAAAAGCCTACATTTGCCTCATAAACGATCATCAAGTTTTAAATTTCTATGTAATTTTTTTTTGTGCTTAGTCCATTTTTTATTAACAAAACAAAACACGGGTTTTCAATACAGAGTTGGGACATTAAACCAAGCTTTGTTTTGCTATTGTTGGTGTGATATTAAGGCAAAGGAGAGAAGGGGATGGTACCCAATCTAAGAGACAAACACAATTGCCGATTGGTGCAAAGTTATTGTTGCTCTTCCCGCTAACAACTTCCAGCAGAACGATTCCAAAGCTGTAGACGTCTGCCTTGTAGGTCAAGTGACCCCAAAGTGCATATTCAGGAGCCATGTATCCTCTGGAATCAACGACCAAATGGCATGTCAACAAAAGTCAAAATTCTACTCCTTCCGTCCAAATTTAAGTTGTCTGTTTACTATCCACAGGGTCAAACTTTAACTATGTTTTTTACTCAGCTTTTCTACCCATTTGAGAAAATAATACATTCTTATCGCATCTTGTTTTGTAGAACTTTTGATAAAATATGTAAATTTTATTTTTTGATTCCATACCAACTTTTAAATAAATTGTGTTTAAAATAACTCTAGTCAAACCTCATAAACAACCGGCAATTTAAATTGGGACAGAAAGGGTAATAATCAGAAGATGCTTCGAATGTGTTTGGTTGGAAGAGCCAAAATTTTCCCTCAAAAAATCCTTTTGGCTCCCCCATCCCAAACAAGTTTTGAGCCAAATGAGGGGGGGAATCATTCTTTTTCCCTCCTAGCAAACACATTGACATCCATATCATTTGAATGGAATGAGTAGAGCTTGCTCACACTGTTCCTGCAATTCGAGTACTGATATGGCTCTTATCGTCTTCATTGAGCCTTGCCAGTCCAAAGTCTGAGATTTTGGGATTCATGTTTCCATCAAGAAGCACATTTGTTGCTTTAACATCTCGATGAACAATTCTGAGGCTGGACTCCTCATGCAGAAAAGTCAAACCTCTAGCAATACCAATACAAATCTTTAACCTTGTTGGCCAGTCTAACACCAACTCATTTTCCTCTAAACAAAAAAAAGCAAGAAAAAAGGTGACCGATCAATTGTTAGGGTATGTTTGAGAGTTAGGCATTGGAAAGTTTTAGAGGGATGCGTTGTTTTTCATTTTCAGGAAGTAATGTTGCGATATGATAAAATTTTCAAACTAACCCCACCCTTCCTCCCCCTCCAAGATCCAACTCTCAAACACACTCTAACACTATGTTTGGTTCAGGAAATTAGGAAGAAGAGGAAAATTCTAGGGAAAAAAGGTAAATAAAACTAGAATCCAAATCTTGTTTGGTTAGCAAAGAAATTACTTTTCAATAACTCCTTTGTTTTGTTGATGTAGAGAAAACGAAGGAGGACATAGTTAAGAACGTGGGAGGGAAAGGGTGGGGGGCAGTTTGTTATTTTTCATCCTTTTCCTCAGAGAAACAGAAGGAAAATCACATTTCCGTTCTTACTTTACATTTTCCTCTCCTTTTCTTTTCCTCCCAAATTTCTTTTCTTTTCCAATTTAACCAATCACCAAAACTGTTTTTCCTTACCGTTTTCTTTTCTTTTCCCTTCCGAACCCCTAGTGTAAGTGAACAATTGTATGACATGGCTAAGGAACTTTCAGGCTTAAGTGAGAACTTACTGAAAAGAACATTGGCGAGGCTGTTGTTCTCCATGTATTCATATACAAGCAGTAATTGATCTCCTTCAACACAACCCCCAAAAAGCTTTACAACATTAGGATGTTGCAAACAAGAAAACATGCCCATCTCATTCAAAAATTCTTTGTTTCCCTGCCTTGATTTGGATGAGAGTTGCTTCACTGCTATTAATGTGCCATCAGATAACCGTCCCTACACGAGATCTTAAGTTGAACGATTCAAGCTAGTAAATGATGTAAGAAATAGAATTACACAAAAAGTATTCCCTCCGTCCTCGTTTAAACTCATTGTTTAACATTAAAAAAATTTGTTAAGAAAGTGAAAATTGTGTGGCCGGTATTCATCAAGTGGAGAGAGAAACAATATTAACCACATAATCCTTTCCTTAAAAGGAAGATAAATCTGGGACATATTGAAAAGGAAAGTGTGAAGACAAAATAGGAATAAACGATAAACATGGGGAATGTTTAGAACCGTACCTTGTATACTGGGCCAAAACCGCCTTCTCCGATCTTTTTTGAAGCATCAAAATTATTGGTGGCAACTTTTATTTGTTTTAACGTAAAGGTAACCATTTGTGAATCAACTTCTGGATCTGTCAAGAGTAAAGACATCAGTTTTAAGTTTGTACATATCCATAGCATCATACTTTCCATTATAACATTCCCATTCTCTTCCACAAATCCAAACAGGGCACTAGGTAAATGTAGCTGTTTATTATGTCAAATAAAATTTTCTGTACCATGCCCCCCTCTACATTGTAGATAGCCATTCCACCATAGCAAGCCAAGTATGAAAAAGACAACAACTGCACTCACTGCTCCAACAATACTGTAAATAATCGGGTGCTTTTTAGTCCCACCTAAACAAGATTTCATATCTGCGAAAAAAAAGGATAATGAAAACACTAATTAGCTTTGCTGATTTAACAAAACTTATTATATGCAACTTGTATTTCCACCTTCTTTGAAAAACTGCACGAAAAATTAGCTCCGTTTAATAAAACGAGACTCTTTTTTGGGACGGGGGAAAACCAGCAAAAGTCATTTTAATCATATGTGGTTTTAAACATTCAACGAATTACACACATTTCTAGCTATAACTATATATGCTATCGCTGTGAATGTGGCTTTGGGAGACTAACCTTCAGGACTAGAGTTAAAAGAAAAAGATGCCAATCAAACCATTGGGAACAGTACATACTTACACGGATTGACTGAGATAGCTGATACTAGGGGACCATAATGCCCTGAAAGAGGGATGCGTGTTGTCCCCTTCCCAGCCCAGTAAAGGCGAATCTCCAAGGTGTTATCAATTACACTGGCATTAAAGTGCCTAATAACAGGCCTTTGCGCTCCTTGAGCCTCTTCTTCAATATTAAACCCTTTCCAAACTAGTTTGTCCTGAAACATAGCAGAAGGCTAGTAATAAACATTCTAAAGCACTTATTATGAGAAGCATTAATTAGTACTTGCGGTCCCTTAAGCCTAACAAAATCATGGCAAGTGTGTGGTTGACCAATGGCTTAGGCAGTGGCTCGTATTGGAAAATAGAATTTGTAATAATTCATATCTAGTTCATCTGACTTATTTGTTTTACTGTGACTTATTTTTCTCGCAATATTGTGGTGTATGTAATTAAAAATATATGAAAGAGGGGTAAAATGACAATTTTCGGGTGAGCTAGGGGTTCGTTTCATCTAAGTTATTACATACATTTACATTTTTTATACTTAAAAAATAGCAGCTGCATCAATACCAAAATCTCAACTAGTTGGGGTCGACGGCCTTTAAAAAATTATAGTGCCAATAAATTGTATGAACCTAATTAACACTATAAATTCATGCAAAAGCAAAGAGGCAATGTTCTACGCCAGATGCCCTTCCTGCCACAACCTTCTTAAGAATAATAATAAAAAAATTCTAAAACAGTCATCAACATGGGTTACTCCACATGCATGGAAAAATCATGAAAACACACACTTGTCATGACTCTTACGGTGTCATGTCTCTCGCAAGTGAACAATTTTAACTAGTAGTTGATATAAATAAATAAATAACCTGAATGTAAATGTCAAATACACGCCTTCCAAGACTCAGGTATGTACTGTCATTTCTGAAAACAATCTCCGCGAAGTAAAGACTCACATTATAGTTCCCATTCTCCAAGCAATAACCAAAGTAAGTAAGTGAAAGAGGAGAAATCCGTGCACTACTGTACAATTCAGAGAGGTTTGTTGATCGCTGCGACACAACAAAACGTGTGTTCTGAACATCACCATCATCCATGAAGTCACCGGTGCTGCTAAATCCCCAATCGTTACCTCCACTGCTAATGAAATATCTTGAAGCAGAACCACCTTCAACTCCTGCATCTCCCTCATATTCTACTTCACGGTTGCCACTTTCTTTAAGAGTAACATCATTTCCGCCACAATTTACATTTATAGAACAAACATCTGTTATGGAACACAAAATTTTTAATTTGGATCCCCGCGTGATCTCAAGCCAATTTGATATGACATATAAGAACCATCTTCTACTATCATAGAAATTAAATTAAGTTTTGCTTATATTTTAACTGATTTGTTTGACTTAAAGTCATGACCTAAATAAAACTGTAGAAGAAAAATAAGTTGAAGAGAAAGGAAAAAGGATATGAGTACTGTAGAATTTTAAATACATAGGTTGGAAATTGCTTTAGTATTTGATCGAAATAATTTCATAGCCAAAATGAAGCTTGGTGTAATGACACGTGAACTTAAAATGGAATTTACTTTTACAGCCATAATCAGATGTATATTACAAGAACATAAAAACAACATTAAACAAATAGTTGGGCCATATTTGGAAAATGAAATCATCGTTAGTTTCTACTTTCTACGGTACGTGGAATTAGCAGAAAATTGGGAAAGACGTTTCAGATTTTTCTTTCATGCTATGTGATTTCCAAGGAGTGGAAAGAAATCCACTTACATCTAGGACAAGCAAGTTTCTCTGCACACGGAAGAGTTCTCCTTCTGTTGAAGAAAAAATAGGAAACAGTTTGCATTACTATTCAGTTTTAGACTGTATGTAAATGAGTATTATATCAAGTGTTCTGAATCAGTTCTTGACTGCATGATGTTATCAAGACCAAATAAATAAAATGAGCACAAGAATCTTACAATGCACTTACTCTTGAAAAGCTCTTGTATAAGTTCAGATGTAAATTCCTAGTAGAAAGGAATGTTCATTATCACCAAAACTTGGCAAGCTAAGGACATAAATGTAAAAAGACAAAGGAGTGTCCTTACGGATCAGGTTGACAAGCAGGCTCATCAAAACCTTGCCATGTAAAGTTATTATAGGAAAGATCACTGTATATGCAATAAAATAATAATTTCCTTTAGCCTTAGTTTCTATGCAATAAAGTAGAGGGAAAGAGTGAAAAGAGAAATGAAGCATTTCTCTTGTTTGGAGAGCCTTACATGTTTATTCCATCTACTAATATTGACTTTGGAATATTTCCGCTGAGGATGTTTCCAGTTAAAAACCTGTATCCAAGAAACATAATCAGCACGGATGACAAGCAAACATGCTGTGCAAAGTGGCTAATGAACGGGTGGAGGACAAGAAAATACTTAGTATGATAAATAAGATTTCTGGCAATCTCACTATTCAAGTAATGAATTAATATTGTAATGGAAGCTAAAAATATGGGAGTTTGCCCTTACAGAAACTTTAAAGCACTTCTGGCACTAATAAAATCTGGAAATCCGCCAACTAGCTTGTTGAAACTGACATCCCTAAGCATGAAAATTTAAAATATAGTATGATTAAAGAACAGAAGAAACTAACCATTATTAAGCAACTTTATTCAGCAAATAATGCACCAAAAATTAAGTCTAACCTGCTCATAAGAAAACATAGAAAACAAACAAGTGCTAAAAAAGCTACAGTCACCTGGCCTTCTCTATGAAAAAAACTTAAAATTAAAAGGAGAAAATGACTCAAGACAGTAAAACTGCTCTGAAAGAAGTGAACAGAAAGGGCAACAAGTTTTTCACCAGAGTAAAGATTTTTTTGTTCACATTTCACATTAGCAAATTACTCTTTCCATCCCATATCTTTCTTTCTTTTGAGTTACGAACTTATGATATAAACTTAAATTCAATAGATTCATTTTAAAATGTAGTTTTAAAATATAATATTACTACAAGATATATCTATGTATGAATATAGATACTCTCTCTATCCCGTCAAATGCTTTCCACTTTCTATTGTGAATCCTGTAAACTTACTATTCACAGAATCAATTACAACAACACAACAACAATAATCAAGTTGTTTTTAATTATGTAATTTTTTTTTATTTTTAGGTTTACATCAATATTCAAATTAAAATAAATTGAAAATAACATTAGTCAAGCCTCGTTAAATGTGGGTCAAGAATCCAATGGAACAGAGGGAGTATTAATGGTCAAAGTATTGCATTGGAGACCGTGAAAAACTAGACGAGAAGACAGATATAAGATGGAGGGAGTACTAGATAATAGAGTCAATGGCTCAAAGCTAAAGATGTAAAGTGTTTCATACACCATATATACACTAAATAAGTCTATTTTATTAAGAAACAGACATGTATACATGAAATGAGTATTTTCTTTTTAAAAAGCCCGATAAAAACAACCTCACATAAATAGTCATTTAAGTCCAAAAGTATTTACGTGCAATGCAAATATGCAAAATACGTAATAATGATGATGGAGATGATGATGCCAAGGCCAAAGAGTTACAGAGTGTGATGATGTAAAACCGCCTAAAACCAACCAAAAAGGCAGGCTGGTCACACATCCCTAATGTGGTATACTTGAACTTTGTGAAACAAAGGGCTATTAGAGACCATTCAAACCTAAAAGTAAGGATTTATGTTGTGAATTGACACATGATTACGTACAAGAGTTGAAGGTATTTCATGTTCCAGATATATGAAGGAATTTCTCCAGAAATATTGCAGTTCCTCAATATCCTGAAAATGATTAATGACGCCTCAAACCAAAGGATCTTGATCATGGATGCCTAGACCAATTTCTGTTACATAAAAGTCATCCTGACTCACAATGTAATTAGGCCCGTGCTCCTCCTCAGGAGAGGAAATCCCTGACTCGGTCCATTTATGTCACTGATCCTCCTGTAAAGGAACTTAGAAATTGTCAAATACTAGTGAAAAACAAAAAGTAGATACTCCGTATGAGACATCTGAAACATATGTAACGTATTTCAATACTGCAATGGTCAGGAACTCACAAATTAGTTAGGTTTTCAAGAAGAGATAAAAATCGTGGGATGGGTCCTTCTAATCCACTAGCCTGCATCTCTCTTCATTTCCATTCAAAGTTAATTACAGTCAAACTATACAAACATTTGAAGTGTGTTGGAAAAATGAGATCTTACAGTCTTGTAAGTTGTTTCCAGTTCTGTATGAAATTGGGAATTGGACCTGAAAAATTGTTGTCACTTATCCGGCTGTAGAAAGTAACATAATATCAATCACAATATCAAACACACACACACACACAAGAGGGAGAAGAAGACCAGCTGAACAAATATGAATTGAGCTTACAAATCTTGCAAATTTACAAGCGCCGAAAACGATGTGGGTAAGCTCCCTACCAAACGATTTGAGGACAACATCCTGAAATTCAATGTCGGGAATCATTCATACACAACATATATACAGGGAAAAGCAAGTATGGCTGCAGAAGGTTGTCTTACAAGGTTTTCAAATTTATCAAGTTTCCAATTTCAGAAGGAATAACACCTGAAAACTGATTTCCCTCGAGATTTCTGGATCAAATTACACGAATTCCACAATAAAAATATGCCAACTTATCAAATAATAGTAGTAAATTAAACATTCCAAGGTGGGGAAGCACATAAAACAAATGCAAAACTTGATAATACATACAGATAGTTGAGGCTTGTAATATTTCCCAATGCTTTGGGTATTTCCCCCGACAGCCGATTCACAAGCACAGAGCTTGGTAAAAGAAATTGGCAATTAGTGACTGTGATTGAAGGAATCTAGAGAAACACGCTCAGCCACATGAGATCAGAGCGAGGGGCTTACATGAAATTAAGTTTTGTTGAGGCCCACTCAGTAGGTATTGTACCACTGAGATAATTGTAAGCAATATCACTAAAACAAACAATGGAGAATGGCCGTCAGCTGGTTGTCAATATACAGAAGAATAAAGATGCAAACCACAAGAATCAGATTAGCCTAACAAATGCAACATTGACATAAAATCCTTACATGTGTTTGATATAAGGGAGTTGTGACAGTTGCGGTGGAAGAACTCCGGGAAGACTGAGACCCTTCAGCACACTGCACTAGTGAAAATTTGGATTCAGTTCCAATTCTACCAAGTAGGGGTAACTGGGTAAGGTCCGCATACACACGCCGATATAATTTAGAATACCGTAGGGATCACTGGACTGTGTGATAAGACACTTGGGTTGAACCATATTAAAAGATTTAATCCAATCGATTAACTAGTTCAACTCAAAAAGTTTATTAACCTGCTATATTCTTCTCAATTTTTTGATCGGGATAAACTCTAACACTCCCCCTCAAGTGGACAAGCGGGTCAAATTTAACCGGTTGACAACTTGCAAATGGAATCCCAAATCTCATCCTTCAGAATATATTTTTTTTAGTGACAACACCTAAAGGACCATGAGCCGCTAGCGGTCGAGTTAAACGGGCCACTGCGAGACATTCAACACGGACAGCTGAGCTAAAGACTAGGGCCGCTAGGAATGAACGTCTAGACGGACACCATGACAAACGAGGTGAACTAAAACTGGCTTTGATACCATGGTAGAATTTAGGATAGGGATCACTGGACTGGGCGATAAGACACTCGGGTTGAACCACACTAAAAGATTGAATCTTATCGATTAACCAGTTCAACACAAGACCCTACTTTTGTATGACTCTACTAGAAATCTAGAATGCTGTTATTTGTAGTTCTAACTCTGCAGATATAATAAGATGAAGAACACCTCACATGCTTATAATGTGGCAGGAATCAATATCCCCATTATTGCAGTCACATTCAACACTGATATCGGACCAACTTAGCTGCTGTCGTGTTACCCCAACAGTTTCAACTTCGCAAGAATCCGCATTGAACTTCCAATATTTTGCACCCATGGTAGTAAAAATTTGTTGGAGAACATCCACTGATAAACAAATATGGGATGTAATTAGACATGTTGAAGATGGCCATTATCGTCAACTCGAATCATCAAAATGGAAGTATGGTGAAACTACCAACAAAGTGAAATTTACTTTCACTTGCACAGTGAAAAGAAAGTTGCAACCTTTTAAACAAATAATAATCAAAATCCAAGATTTCTAAATCCATTAGTTAAGTGCTTCTAGAGGAAATGAAAAAATCAAGAAAACGGAGTCTCAGTACTTCACCTTCTTCTTGAGCAACCCTCGATTCAGCAAACCTCTTGAAGAAAAAGCTGAGAAAAAGAATGAAAGAAAGAAGAACCGCTCTTCTTCTGGGGATCATTTTTCAAGCTTCAAACATGCGGAGACTTTGAAGAACCGACAGCTTATGATTTTGATCTGACTGCACACCATATGATTCGTTAAAGGTGCCCAACAGACTTCTTTCTACCAGACTTTTATTCTAAAAATTTCTAACACTTGTGGGAGTTGTGGCCCCCGGGTCTTAACTAGCTTTGGCAACCTTTAATAGTCTTTGACATGAATAAATTCCCGCAGAGGTAAGATTTGAAGCATGCATTTCCTGAGAGGGAAAATCGGCTCTAGTAAAGTCGTTATTTATTTTTATTTTTTTTTTAAAATCGGCTTTCACAAAGCCATTTTTTGTAAAAAAAAAGATTTAAATAAAAATTGGCTTTCACAAAGCCGTTTTTTGTAAAAAAATTATTTTTAAAAAATGGCTCTCATAAAGCCGAAATTTTCATTCCACAAAATTGCGCAGATGACAGATTTCATAAACTTTTTTTTTAAATAAAAATAAATATTTATTATGATTCAATATTTAATTTGTTAAAAAAATCAATCAATAGAAATTTAATAAAGAGAAACTTGTTTTTTAAACGAATAGTAGGCAATATTGAAAACATAAATATATTAAAACATCAACAGCAAATTACATTCTCAACATCTGAAATAAACAAGAATTACAACACCTTCCCTGATACAAACTAAAAAAATTATAAACTAAATTCATCTCCTTGCCCTAAAATCCATCACGCCCTGGTATCGATTGCGTTGACGTCTCCCTAAACTTGGAATCTCATCTGTTGGCCGTTTGGGAGGTAGAACCTTAAAGCTTCCAACATCCAAATTTTGAGGGAAAAGAACAGGTTGAAATTTTGGAATTTTTTTTTGGCTTTGTAAAAGCCAAAATCTTGCCTCCCTTTTTTAAAATTTCCAAATTCAAATTTTTTGGCTTTGTAAAAGCCAAAATCTTGCCTCCTTTTTTTAAATTTCAAAATTTAAATTTTCTGGCTTTGTAAAAGCCGAAATTCTGACAGCTTTTTTAAAATTTCGAAAATTGTATTTTTTGATTGAAAAATCCGAAATATTGACTGTTTTTTTTTCTCGAAATTCTTCCCCTTTTTTTAGCCTCCAAAATTTTATTTTCAAAATTTTAAGTCTTTTGGCCCTACTTTTTTTTATTGCGAAAATTACTTTTTAAGTAATATAAAGTAGAGTTACATGAATAAAAAAATTAAAAGAACAAAAATATTTTAAGTAAAAGAAAGTAGAATCCATTACATGACCCAAAAATAAAATATTACAAATTACAAAAATCCATGAATACAATAAAATTAATTAAATCCACGATTGAACCAATAATCCATCACCGGGATGTTATCATCACCCAAACCGCGTGTGTCAAATTGTGTCCCACCAAAAAGATCTTCTTGGGTACTTTGTCCGGGTTGAGTGTTGTCCGTTTGGGGGAAATATGGACCAGTCTCGACCTCGTCAGCATCAAACTCATCTTCGTCTCCATGCATTTCTTCATCTTCGTCTTCAACAAGCTCAACTTCGTTGCGGTCAACATTTTCTAAAGCATTGCTTAGGCTGTCTCGAACCTCTGATTATTTGTAGTGGAATTGAAAGGAGTAGTAGTTGAAGGGATTAGATGTGAGAATAGCAAGAGTTGGAGTGTGAAATGGTGAAAGGGGGAAGGGGTCATGCGCATGCACTGTTCAATTCTGTGCTTTTGTACTGTAGCAGCAAAATTGGCTTTTGGAAAGCCAAAAATTTTTAAATTAAAAATAAAAAAAATTGGCTTTATGAAAGCCGAATACCATTTAAAAAAACGAGTAAACTCCCGATATATGTAACATTTTAATACACCATTCCTGGCAGTGCATGTCAGGCATCTTTTTCCTGGCAGTGCAACCCGGAGTTGGCAACTCCGTTTCCTTTTGTTTTATTTTTAAAGACGCAGTAGCCTACTCCGTTTGAGCCCAATTATTTAATGACACGGAGTAGCGAAATCCGTTTGGGTGGAATAAAACCAAGACGGAGTAGCCAACTCCGTTTGGCCTGACATAATCAGAGACGGAGTACGCTACTCCGTGTCTCTTCAATTTAGATCTCTGCCCCTCTCCTCTTTTACACAGATCTGAGATCTGTAAAACAAAAAAAAGGGTCTGCGCTGGGCGTTAAACGACGAGGGAGGGCCGACGGTGGGCGATAAACGACGAGGGAGGGAGGACGCCGGACGACCCCACCTTGACCGGAGTCAGCTGCTCCGTTTTGAAGCTTGAAGGTATTTTAATTTTTTTTTGTTAAATTTGTTCCAATAATTTTGAATTGTGAGAAAATATTAACAAATATATTGTTTAATTTTAAAACTTTGTTATTGTGTAAAATAAATATTTAGACATAGATTGTATGCATAAGTGGTTACTTCATGATTTTTTTTAAAATATAATTGTCTTGTTATATTTTTATTAATTGAGTATATTCTTATGTTGTAATCTTTGAAGCAAATGTATGTACATCCGGGACCTATTTTACGCGATGTTTTAGTAATTGAAGCGGGAGACCATAGGTGTGATGCGGTTTGGGCCGAAGAAGAATATGCTAAAAAAGTATTAAAGTGTCACAGGACTTGTACTAGTTTGTATACGAGTACTCTTATTGTTAATAGACCGGTTCGTGTGAGTCATTTTTTACGAGAATACGGATTTCATGGGATTGAGAGAGTTGGTGGCTTGCAATTGGACTGGGCTTTGATCACAGCTCTAGTGGAGAGATGGAGGC